CTTTTTTAAATTGGCATAAGAACAGTTGAACTGTTAGTGGTGATTGAGTCACACATCCTTTAATGGATAAAAAATTACGTCTTCTAAATCGTTCTAATTTAAATTGAAAGTAAAGTAATGAAATTATCTTGGCACAACGCATTATATTAGAATGCTTTCATGTCGGCACCAGCGATAATCCACTTAGCAGCGCGAAATCCACAAATAAAAGAATTTTGTTCCACATCCCATCAGCCAGGCTACCTGAGTGAATCGTTTCATTAGCAATGGTTGACCACATGAACAAATTCTGGGCTGGTTTTGACAATCGGTGTCTCACAAACAGAGTGAGTGAACGCTGGTGAACTGCGTGACGTTGATATCGGAGGCCCCCTCTGTTAGCTGTGGGTCCCGAGTGGAGCACAAAAGTCTACAATGCACGACACGGAATGACCAGGCGCGTAGTCGGTGCAAGCTCGAGGCCGAGATAGCGGTGCCCCCTAGAGACGAGAACCCGCCAGCCCCGCTGTGCGTGAGCGACACGCGGGGAAGACAGCGCTCCCCCTGCCGACGGAAAGAGGCAAAAGCCGACAACAAAAAGCCTACAACACCTGGTATTCCCAGGCGGTCTCCCATCCAAGTACTAACCAGGCTCGACCCTGCTTAGCTTCCGAGATCGGACGAGATCGGGCGTATTCAGGGTGATATGGTCGTAGGCGGGAGCTCAGTGAAGATTTAGTCTATTCATCTCTAATGTATTTGCCTTTCACCTTTGCACTTATTTAACTTTCCCATCGTGTGAAGACACCGCCTGCAGTCATCCTCGCATTCACGGTGGACTTCAACTCGAGACGTCTCGGTGCAAAGCCAAGTGGTCTCATCTCTGAAGCAGCAGCAGCAGCCTCCAAGTTGAGCATCTATCTCAGAAGAAGAGTTGTCATCATATTCATATACAGTATTTGTGTGTATTTTAAACCATGACGTACACACTTTGTTTATCCACTGATGGATGAAGACCTACAACACGCTATGTCTGTCCTGTCCTGGGGGTTGATTGAGCATACTTCACCACGCTGGTCGACGGTGCGGGTTGGTGGTGAAGTGGTGGAGAGAGTCTGACCTGGTTCGGATATCACTCGACACCACCGATGATGTTAGCCGTGCCCGGGATTCTAACTCAGCTCAGCAGCTTCACTGCACCGTGACGCTTAGAGCCACGGCACCCTAAGGGCTGTGGTCTTGACAGTGGCAGAAGTGAGCTCTGGGGTCGCGATCTGTAGCTGGCGGTGAACACGAGTTTCATGAGAAAAGCTCTTTCGCTATAAAAACATCAGCGGAAGCTGATAACATTAGAGATGAATCTACTAAATCTTCACTGACCTCTCGTCTACGACCATATCACCCTGAATACGCCCGATCTCGTCCGATCTCGGAAGCTAAGCAGGGTCGAGCCTGGTTAGTACTTGGATGGGAGACCGCCTGGGAATACCAGGTGTTGTAGGCTTTTGTTGCCGGCTTTTGCCTCTTTCCGTCGGCAGGGGGAGCGCTGTCTTCCCCGCGTGTCGCTCACGCACAGCGGGGCTGGCGGGTTCTCGTGCCTAGAGGGCACTGTGTAAACCCACCGCGTTCTAAGAATAGATTGTACCCTTTCTGGCAATAAAAGAGGTGTTAAGATGTTTAAACACCAAACAGACACCCTTTGCAATGAATCATGTCTGCATTAACCACACGTACTCGTGGTGAACATTCAAACAGAAACACGCTCTGGTAATAGACGCATTGTCTTTTATATTGATTGGTGTACACCAGAGACAGCCTCCTTTAAGGCCTCGTCTCACCAGTGTCAGACCAGAAAAGGCGAACAGCACAAGGACCATGCCACTATCAGTGCATTTATCGCTCGTGGTGAGCAGCTACAACATGGGGCATTTCTTGCCAGTATCAAAGAATAAAAATAGGGTTTACCCTTTCTGGCAATAAAACTTGTGTTAAGATGCTCAAACAACAAACAGAAACCTTTTTGCAAGGAATCATGGTTTCAATCAGTGTCAAAGACAATGCACATAATTACCAGAGTGTTTTTTTTTGCATGTTCAGCACGAGTATGTGTGGTTATCATGCAAGCGTCTCACATCCAGATTTAGGCCATCGGACTACAGCTAAGGTCGTGGAGTGAGGTCCTTCTGTAAATGAGAAACCAATCAGGGAATCTGATTCTTCGGTAACGTATAAGGCGCAGCCGGCCACTTAATTCCCAGGTGTCAATCAAGTTACAGGGGATTATGGTGCCATGGCCTCGAAGCGACCCTCCCCCCCCCCACCCCTCCTGGCCCCCCACACTGAATACACACACACAGCGCACATAGTAGTGTCCTGGCGTGGGATTGCTTGGCACAACAGGTTTTATAATCCGAAGGGTCCCTATGCGGAAAGTCCCACAGGTTTCCCGGTGTCAGGGCATTGGCAGGCCCTCGCAGGACAATTTACACCGCGGTGCCCCTGAATTGGCTTCATTGTGTATTGGCGCAATAAGTAATACATAAAAAAAACTTTTTTTTAAAACACGCTTTAATGAAATGTACCCTACTAGTAATGGAAGAACTCCACGACTCCAGGAAGTGGCCCAGAAGCTTGCCACAACGTAAGAGACCCGTGGTGATTTACAGCCAACGTCAGTTGAGCAGTGGACAATTAGACCCAAGCCGAAACTTAACATATAAAAAATGTTGTTTAAAACATTGTTTTTATTTTTGTAATGATAGAATATAGTATTGTCATCTGTATGACATAAGTATACCAAGTTTGTAGTGGATACCACATTGGGAAGTGGGTTACAATTGAGTTTACAAGATTTGAGGATTCAACGACAACAACAGTGAGTTTAATAGAAAGCGTGTAAATAAACAACAATAATAAAAAGTTGAGCGTGGACAATTAGACGCCTTTTGGCGTATTCTGGTCCAACACCAGTGGAGACTAAGGGCTCTAAGAAAAGCCGTCTCGGGTGTGGACCAATTAATTCAAGGACAGGTGCCAATATCATTATCAGAGTTGTCTCTTTTTGTTTGCATTTTTGACTGCTTTTGTTGTGGTTATTGCAAACATGATGCCTTGAATAAAGGTGTCAGTTTTTTTGTGCCAGTTAAAAGGGCAAAACCTATTACTACAATAAAAAAAAAAAGTTTACCGGGCCAGCCGCGACGAGTCATTCACAACGTCGGGAGAAGCCGGGGCATGAAAAAGCGAGAGAGGCAGGCGATGAGGTCAGGGGAACGCAGCGCCACGACCTCCCCCCCCCCGACCCCCGCACGTCGGGTGTGTATTGCTCCGGGAGTTTTGATCTGGATTAACAGGGGTGAGTACTGCATTCCGGAAGGGCTGACAATGGATCGCGGGAGCACTGGCCGCGGCGATCCATGCAAGGGGAACAACCCGAGGGGAGTCACCACAGGTAGGCGCATGAATGCCGCGCGGTACAAACGCGACGACCCCGGGTGTTTTTTTTTTTGTTTAAGTCAGGGGCATAATGTTGAAGAGTTCATCTTCATCAACATCTTGGCCGTCAAGAGCCCCCCCTCTCCTGCCCTGCCCTTCTTCAGCCGCTCGCAGCGTCCTCTGTGACACCGCGAGTCAGCTCCGAGGTCCAGGGTAGTGGGACGCTTGGGTGTCGAGTGGCAGCGTAGGCGCGCAGCAGCAGCAGCAAGGCTCGGCTTTTCTCGCTTGATTCTCGCCCCGGTAGTGCCCATGGGCAGCTTTTAAAGCAGGGGTGGGAAACCTTTTATTATTCTGTCAAGGGCGGGGGGGGGGTGCGGGGGGGGAGGGGGTGCGGGGGGGGGGGAGTGCGGGGGGGAGGGGTGCGGGGGGGAGGGAGTGCGGGGGGGAGGGAGTGCGGGGATGGAGGGAAGTGCGGGGGGGTTGCGGGGGGGTGGTGCGGGGGGGAGGGGAGTGCGGGGGGGTGCGGGGGGGAGTGCGGGGGCGGGGGGGTGCGGGGAGGGTGGGGGCCACGGGAGGGGGTGCGTGGGGGGAGGGAGTGCGGGGGGGGGGGGTGCGGGGGGGAGGGAGTGCGGGGGGGGAGGGGTGCGGGGGGGTGGGGTGGGGGGGGGGGGGGGGTGGGGGGAGGGGGGGGGGGGGGGGGGGGGGCGTGGGGGGTGGGGGGCGGGGGGCGGGGGGGGGGGGGGGGGGGGTGCGGGGGGGGGGGGGGGCGGGGGTGTTGGGGGGGGGGGGGGGGGGTGGGGGGGGGGGGGTGGGGGGGGTGGCGGGGGGGGGGGTGGGGGGGGGGGGGAGGTGGCGGGGGGGGGGGTGGGGGGGGGGGGGGTGGGGGGGGGGGGGGGGGGGGGGGTGGGGGGGGGGGGGGGGGGGTGGGGGAGCGTGGGGGGGGGGGGGGGTGGGGGGGGGGTGGGGGGGGGGGGGGGGGGGTGGGGGCGGGTGGGGGGGGGGGGGGCGGGGGGGGGGGGGGGGGTGGGGGGGGGGGGGGGGGTGCGGGGGGGGGGGGGGGGGTGGGGGGGCGGGGGGGGGGGGGGGTGCGGGGGGGAGGGGTGGCGGGGGGGGGTAGGGGGGGGGGGGGGGGGGGGGGGGGGGGGGGGGGGTGGGGGGGGGGGGGGGGGGGGGGGGGGGGGGGGGGGTGCGGGGGTGAGGGGGTGCGGGGGGGGAGTGCGGGGGGGGGATTGCGGGGGGAGGGAGTGCGGGGGGGGGGAGGGATGTGCGGGGAGGGGTGCGGGGGGGAGGGAGTGACGGGGGGGGGGGGTGCGGGGGGGAGGGAGTGCGGGGGGGGGTGCGGGGGTGAGGGGTTGGGGGGGGAGGGAGTGCGGGGGGGGGAGTGCGGGGGGGGGGAGTGCGGGGGGAGGAGTGCGGGGGGGAGGAGTGCGGGGGGGAGGGGGGAGGGGGGGGAGGGGCGTGTTGGGGGGTGTGCGTGCAGTGTGCAGCGTGCGGCGCCTCTATTCGGGACAATGCGGTAGGACGCGACGGCCAAGATCCGGTTCCTCGTCCGCGTCGTCGTCGACGGATCCGGTTCGGCAATCAAAATGGCGAAGCGCGGGAAGACGACGACGGCGAAGTTGACTGGGGCCGAGGAGGTGCGGCCGCAGCGCGAGGAGAAGAAGGAGGAGGAGGCGATGTTAGAGGGGAACGAGGAGCGGCGGGAGAAGAGGGAGGAGAAGGGGGGTGAGGGGGAGAAGAAGGGGGGTGAGGGGGAGAAGAAGGGGGGTGAGAAGAAGGGGGGTGAGAAGGTGAACGTGGAGAAGGAGGAGGAGAAGAAGAAGAAAAAGAATGGCGAGGCGGAGATGCAGGAGGCGCTGGAGAAGATCGTGAACAGCTGGATCTTGGACTACGTGTTTTACGTTGGCAAGCGGCTCTTCGACGAGGAGAACTACTTGGAGTTCGGCGAGATGAGGGACATCATGCAGAGTACGTGTCTTCTTCCCCTCCCTCGCCGTCCCTCACCTTCTGTTCTCGCCGTCAACTATCGCAGCTGCGATTCGTGTGCCCACAATGCCGCCGCCGCCGTTTATAAATCACGAACCTCGCCGCGCCTCCGATTAGCGCGGTCGGCTACGTACGGTGCGAAAGAAGTTCAACACAGTTACGGACGAACCTCGCCGACCCGGGTTACACTTGCAGCGCGCCGCTACTGCTATTGAAATTGTTTTTTTTGTGCAATCGCACGTATCGATACTGCGTTCACACGAGTTGAGGAGTTGCATTTGGGGTTTGTGTTGGTGTAGAGGCGGTGGTCGATTAACCGTGCACAGTCGTGCTGTGTTCTCAAAGAGTTTGGTGAATCGCAGCAAACGCGGACCTCAACGTTGGCGTCAAAGACTACTTCCACGGGGTGGCCCATAAGTCTGGAATCGTAGGGAAAATAACTCAATCATATACTGTATTTGTTTATGTTTCTGCAGGCCCAAGATGTCTCTTGAGTAAGGAAGAACGAGTCCGGATATATCCTAATCAGAGAGGAGATGTCGCTATTGATTTTTTGACAGACTGCATCCAGACCGCGAGCCAATAACACAGCGGTGTCTTACCTATGATTCCAGACTTATGGGACACCCTTTATATATCGTTACCCTGGCTTAGCTAAAAGACAATGCAAAGCCCAAATAGCCTGGCTCGGTGAGCAGCAGGCGGGGTAGGTACATGGATGGTACAGCAAAGTCCGGACGAATCGCACATCCGTTTTTAACTACGTGGGATATAACGGGAGTCAACGATGGCCAATGCGCAATTTTTGTGGAATTCAAATGAGTTCCGTGATCCGACAATGCGATGATTTGTTAAGTCGGTGGTTTAAAATATATATAGTATGTGCCATCGGTTGTAACGAAAATTGTACGGTAACGAGAGAGTTGTGGATCTCGAAACCCGTCTTGGCGACTGCTGGGAGGCGGACTACCCACTGCCATGGTTGTTGTTTTTGTGGGTTTATCTGGGTTCCTCTCCCGACATTAATTGGCTGATAATACCATAATACAGTACCTTATTTTGGAGTTTGCATGTCTCTCCCCCCGTGGTTGCGTGGAGTTTTTTTTAGGGTCCCTCCGGCTTCCCCCCCCCTCAACCTTTAGAATGAACGTGTAGCTTTAGAGTATTTGGCTGCTATACATTTCCACGTGATAAGCAAACTTCGTCGAGTCATGATTTGTGGCTAGGCCGCTTCTGAAAAAGAGCTATGTAGCTCAGTGGGTCTTACCTGGTAAAAAATATACATATACGGTTTCGTTTAATATATTGGGAGCTGCGTAGCTCGGGAAATTGTTGACACGGCTCTCCATCTGGCTGCTGCTTATTCTCTGCAAGAGCGGCGAGAAAATTCTTGTGCCCGCTACAAGTTGAAATCATTAGAACCGTGCAAATGCGCGGACACCAAATGCACAGGTGGATAATACGACTCCCGTGTGCGATTGCTGCTCCGAACACCAAACCATGTACCAGAGCACAGCCCCAATTATACATTTTAATGCTGTGAATGGCCAAATCACTTGGAACTGAATCTTGTTGTTTTTAATTGGTCATGCAAAATCATCAGTGGTGGTTAGTATTATGCAAGATTGAGGGGTTCCTCATTCAGAATGTGACCGCTGTTGTAATTAATAACTCCACGTAATTGTGTTTAAAGTACTTTTGCTGTGTTTAAACGGTAGAGGAGTTTACGTGGAATGCGCACCCTGTTATCATTATATTGAATAATACCGTTTGTTTTCATTCGCGTTGCTATTTTCAAAGTGGGCAATACTGTTGTGGTCGATACAGAAGAGTAATGGCGTGCTAAGGTGCATTGGGCACAGTGCAAACCCCTCATTATTGTTATAAGTAGTAACATGCGGCATTTTAATTGTAGTGTTTCAACAGCTGCAGTAGCCGTTAAGGTGTAAGAGTATAGCTGTAATGGTCAGTACTGTGTAAGGGAGTGCTGAACAGTCTGGGATCGGTTGTAAATGTGTCATTTGTAATTAATTGCAATTACTAGTCTGGTACTCGGCGAGTGGTGAGAGAAGATATGGTCTATTGCAGTGTTGATCCGCTTTACATGATTATTTTTACTCATTATTGACAGCATGAGATTGGTTTTGTGTTCACGCGTATATGTGTTGGTGTGCGCGCGTGCACGTGTGCATGGTGTTTATGCATTCGCGTGCAGTGGTGATCCAGCGTCCTTTCAAGCAGAGCTTGGAGGCGATGATGAAGCTCCGCGTTTTGCAGCTGATGTCACGCCTTGCCGAGGCACAGAATCTAGGTGAGTCTGGCCTAACGAAGCGTTAGTTTAACACGTAAGCTTTTGTGACCAATATTATCCAGAGGTGTTGCAGCCCCCTTTTGGCATCCTTGTACGAGGTGCCTCGGTGGATGTGTAGGCTTTGACTTTAACATAGCTATTTCGTTGACCAGTCACAAGCTAATTCCTCAGCTATTCAATGCTAAATTCTCCTGTTTGATTTGTACTAGGCGCCTCTGGATGTGTAGGCTTTGACTTTAACATAGCTATTTCTGTGACCAGTCACAAGCTAATCCCTCAGCTATTCAATGCTAAATTCTCTTGTTTGATTTGTACTAGGTGCCTCTGTTGATGTGTAGGCTTTGACTTTAACATAGCTATTTCTGTGACCAGTCACAAGCTAAATCCCTCAGCTATTTCAATGATAAATTCTCCTGTTTGATATGTTAACCCCTTTGTCAAGGTGCCTCTCTTCTCTCAACCAGCTTAAAAGACGCTACAAATCTTAGTAGCGTTCATTGGAGCTCTGTCGTCCCGACAGTCACAAGCTAATCCCTCAGCTATTCAATGCTAAATTCTTCCGTTTGATTTGTACTAGGTGCCTCTGTGGATGTGTAGGCTTTGACTTTAACATAGCTATTTCTGTGACCAGTCACAAGCTAAATCCCTCTGCTATTTCAATGATAAATTCTCCTGTTTGATATGTTAACCCCTTTGTCAAGGTGCCTCTCTTCTCTCAACCAGCTTAAAAGACGCTACGAATCTTAGCAGCGTTCATTGGAGCTCTGTCGTCCCGACAGTTTTTTGTTCCTTCACCTGAAGAAGGCCGCTTGTGTTGTGGCCGAAACGTCGTGAGAATTTTATTGTTTTATTTTATTATTTTATTCTCATTCTACGTGACTTTACCGAAAGAACCAAAGAAGATTATCCAGAGAGGTTTTATGAGTTACATTGCGTAAATATTAATGGATTGTGGCAAATGCTATGTTGGTAAGACAGGACGAATGATCAGCATGAAACTAAAAGAACACTAAAGGAATATTAAATACTTCCAAATACAACTGTTGGCAGTGGCAGAACAACCGTGCCAACAAGGACACTCAATTGATTTTGATAATGTTGAAGTTCTGTGCAAAACTAGTTACTTACTGGCCAAGACTAATTAGAGAATCTATAGAAATTGAGAGGAGTAAAAGTAATTTTAACCGTCTGGATAGCTACAAGCTTAGTGCTGCTTGGAAGCGAATCCTTAAGTAATACACTATTTAATTGCATGCCTAATACGGGTCACTATACGTCTATGGTGATTAACTGTGAGCAGACAACAGGTACTGAGATTTTCGTCCACACAAATAACGGCAGGATGTGCAAGCACAATGTACATGCATAATGTGCATGCATAATGTATGTTAATTACCCTATGGATAACACAAACGGTAGTGGATATCCATTGTAATTTTTATGCACACATTAACACCCCACCCTGGCCTTCGCATTTGATTGGCTCACAAGTGACGACATCACAGTTATCCCTCTAAGAACAAAACGGGAGGATTTATCCAAAAATCTGGCTTTTGCCTGATGATGCTAGTCGTAATTACTGGCGAAACGTTGTACTTGAATTGTAAATGTAAGTTTACTCTCCAACACACCGGTGTGCTGTACTAGTAACGAATTGCCATGTTTTGTTATGTAACAAACCTTACTAATTGGCTGTGTCGGGTGTAGGCCGGTTTAACGACACATTTACACTATCTAACCCAAAAACCTCTTATGGAAGAATTGGTGACATCAGTAAGACATGACCAATCCACTGCTGCATAAAGGCCTCCCCCAAGCTCTAGTCATTCCTCCTGGTTCTGCTAGGGTAACATTCCATGTAGCTCTTGCACACAAGCTGATTGCACGGCTGCATATTTTTTGTGGACGTCCACTCGGATGAGTGGCATTTCTTGGTTGACTAAGTAACTATTCTTGATCGTCGTCCATTCCTCTTAAGTGATGTGTTCTGCTCAAGCCCATTTTTTACAAATGGATACAAAAACACAGTTAATAGTACGTGCAGAAGCTGATTTATAGACATCAAAAGGTGCGATTGTAACCATAGAATTTAGTCCTCCCATCATGCCCTCGATGCCACGTGACGCTACCATACTGTGTCTGTAATGCGCATGGCCTAGTTTTCGATCACCAAGATTCAAAATTATGGCCATGTTATTGTAGGCAGTAGCAGGACAGCGTCACCTGAAGTGATCTCCATAACAGCTCCGTAATATTTGCTTCTGTGGGCAGTTTTCTAATGAGGGTTGCACTGACCCTAATAAATGCTTCATGGCATGATTACTGTATGTATGCATGTTGAACTTTTTTACATTGTACATAGTCAACCATGCTAATCAGAGGTGTGGGGGAAGGATGACAAACTGAACTCAAATAGCATGTGTCAAAAATTAGTTTTCAAACTAGATTTAAAAGTGTTTAGCTCCAGCGGCTTCCTAATAGAAGGAAGAGCATTCCAGACAGCCGCAGAAGCGCATCTGAAGGCACGCAATGCAGTGACTATCTTTGTTCGATGGATAACCAAAAGTCGTTGGTGTGAGGATGACCAGAGTTCCCATGATGGTTTATGTTCCTTGATGAGATCAGCATACTGATGTCACATTCCAGATAACATTTAGATTTTGTTTATTAAATACGTACAATCGTGTGCTGTCTGCTGTTCTTTGTGCACAGAAGCGCAGTTTGAAGATGACAGCCTCACCCCAATGGAATCAGCTTTGCAGGTGCTGACCATCATGGAGGACGAACTAAAGATCCCACAGCCTCTGACCAAGCTCAAGGAACAATTCAAGATACAGGTAACGATGGTAGAGTCTTCGTAACAGCACCTGGTTGCTTGCCAATCTGCTACTGGATGAACGCCTGTCGGTCATGGGGATTGATTCACAAATACTTAACATTGGTTAGTGCTGGTTGTTAATGATTGAAAGCTCAGAACCGATTTGGATATCACTCACCACTGATTTTAATTGTGGCCTGGAATCAAATGAATGTTTCTGGGTTTGTAGAATACTCAGTCAACCACCGTGCAGCCATTCCCTCCACAACAGCTGATTCATGATAAATGCATGACATTTTGCGTATATCAACACTTGCATAACATTTTTCCCCAGTTATATTGTTGACGTTGAATTTTTGTGTTTTTTTATTCTGTTTCTTTATAGGCGGTCATTCTTTGCTTTGTTCAAAATGACTATGTCAAGGCTGCGGAGGTGTTCAAGAGGCAGTTTGGCAACAGCAAGACTAACAAAGTATGATGACAAAAACCTTCTTATATGTACAGTAAATGTTAGGGTTGTGTTTCCGATATTCAGAATTCAGATTAATCTATTCATCAAATGTCAGACGATATAAACAACTTTTATTTTAGATTTATCCAAAAACATGAGGTCATGTCATGAATATGATGTAAATATTGTGCTTTTCCCACCAAAAGTTGTTACGTGGCATTGGGTGACACCACAATTGTCATGTAAATTATCTGCAAATCTGAAAATTATTAGAAATTGTCTTCTGAAACTCATCCTTGGAAATTTAGTATTAGTTTGCCTATGATCAAATAATGTTGTATGCACCCATCTCGTCACATCTCGAACAGTATTTTAACATGGTTACTAGATGGATTGAAGACTTTGTAAATACCAGGTTTTAGCTGCAAGGTGGAAAGGAAATAGTATAGCTATATGGATTTATATACTTGTGCATAGTTTTTACTATTTTGTGTGGCTTTTCAGAAGGTGCAGTTTCCTGCCATATGGCCGAATGTAAATGGACAAACATCCCAATGCAGGACCTTCCTGACAATAAGTCTTTCGACTAAGGCTAACGTGAATTAACTTGGTCCAATTGCCATTTGGCACAGCTGATAACGGCAGTGTGGTGGTTGTGTAAGATTGACCCTTGTGATATGCAGCTTGTCTGTCAGCTGTCAGCAGTAGGGGGCATCTATAATGTGGAAAAATGCTTATCACTTTTTTGGAGAAACTGGTAGCATAACTAGAGTAGCCGGTAATTAGAATAACCCCCCCCTACCCAAAATATACATATAATAACTCGGAAAATCGGGTTGAATTTCCTCGCTCTGAAAATTGAGTTCTGTACAGGTACATTGGTCAGTAGGGGGCACAACACAATATGTTTAAGTAGCCACTCTTAACGTGCTTATGTTGTGTGCAGCCTGTGCTATATTGAATGTGAGCTTTATTGAATAATTTTTATCGCCTTGAGATTTTTAACACTTTTTTATTTACCTAACTCACACTAGGATTTGGTACTTTAAAGTATAACTATACTACGAGATGGTGAGACATGCTAAATAACAGATACATATGAAAAGTTACTTATTGGCGATACTGTCCTCACCCAGCCCTTGAAGGATGAACTACAGGCCGCTTTGAAGAATCGCAGCGTTCCCGGGTCTTTGCTGATCACCTACCCACTCAGCCAAATCTTCCAGTGCCTGTGAACGACTTGATAGGGCCCCTGCTGAGTCTGCAGCCACTACCGTTCCTGCTCAACGTAAGGAATTATGAGAGCGCATGGGCAGTTGGGTGAAAAGCCCTTCCACAAATAAGGCGATGACTGTCTTTGTTGAGTTGGACAACTCTGTGACCAAAGTAGAATGACTTATGATATCGTAGCTTGCAATGTCGCAAGTTCAGTTTTAAATTAAATTTGTTGTAACTCAGGAGTGTGTATGATAGTTTCGACATTGGGCGTCTTAAAGTTAAGATATTTCGTACATGAATAATGTAGCTATCTTTTGCCACAGACTGAGTACGTCATTGGTGCTTGCTTGTCGGCCTGGCAGGTGATTGGCTGGTGTAGTCAGTGTAACCCCTAGCAACAGCTCTGACTAACGTGAAGGTTACGATTTCACGACAAACATTCGTATTTACTTTGACGTCCAAAGCACATGAGAGCTCTGCGATATGAAAGTGTTTCAAGGTGTGCAGTGTGTAATTGCTGTGTTCTGTCGGCAGGCATCCAAAAGAGTCCTACAAGCCAAGAAAGAAGCTAATAAAGGGTAAAACACCCCTTTATTAACCCTTCCCCTCTGCACCCTTAACTGTTGTATATTACCATTCACCTATATAGGTAAAACATAACCATACTTCTCGTTGTTGGGCGGCGTGTGTATTTTCAAGCACGTTAGTAGCCGTAAGTCTTTTTGTAAAACAAAACAAGTGGAATATGAGTTTTCAGACTTTAGATTATATAAGTTACTAGCAGGAACTACCCGGTTTTGCCCGGGGGGGAAAAATATATTTCAAATCTGATCGTCTCTTAAAAACATAACATATACATACACAAATACTCAGCCCCCCTCCCCCCCTCCAAAATTATTTTTAACACCCCCCCTCCCCCCCCCCAGCCAATTTTTATTTTGTGGGCATACATACCTACTACACACTCTACATACAATAGTCAGTAGTATCTTGTTACTCTATAGTAGTTCTTACTGACTCTTAATATAGCATCTAGTGATTCTATAGTAGTGTTGAGGAGTTCCCGACAACAACTCGGAGGCGGCTTGGAAGTTAAGTCTATTCAAAGCTACTACAATAGCAACAAGGGTGTAACAACTCCCAGGGGTTAGGGGTCCTACACTGAGTCCTGATCCCAGCCCGGCTAGCTCCGGTCTCTCTCTCTCTCGTGTCGGATCGGGGACTCTGCCAACTCCACCGACCGGAGAGAGAAGCACCTCTATCGGCTACCACCGGCTTCTCTCCAGACTCTCCACTCGATCCCTCTCTACCCCTGGTTCCCTCTTCACCCTTCTTACTCTGCGCGTCCCCACAGTGACCCCGCTTTTGTCACGGGGTCCCCCTTAAATACTGGAGGAGACATGACGTCATCGAGCCGCCCAGCGCGCATGACGTCACGTTCCGTGGTAGATACTACCGACGGTAGATACTACCGATTACAGTAGTATCTACCGACTCTATAGTAGTATTTACTGACTGTAGTAGTATCTACTGACCATACAGTAGCATCTACAGACTCTACAGTAGTATTTACTGACTCTATAGTCGTATCTACTAACTCTATAGTAGTGTAGTGGCATGGTTGAACATGATCACCACTACCTATAGCCGACAGTACTAGCTTGTGCCAGTAGGGAGCGGAATGGAGGCTGAACCTGCTGGATAATGTTGACGGGCCATTGGCCCTCGGCAATCCCTGGGGGGAGCATCGTGACCAACGGTCGGGACGCCCAGAAAGGGCTGGGGGATGATGTCGTTCTCCAGGCCCTTGGAGAAGGTTCTGGAAGGGAGGCGTGGCCAGGGGCGTAGTGAGCCAGGACCCTGTATATAAGCCAGGTCCCTGAGCGGTCCTGGTAGCATCGTTTCCGGCCAAAGACCGAAGAGCCTCACCTGGAGCCCTGAAGAGGAAGAGCCCAATGGGCGAGCCGAACCCCTGGCTACGGTCGGCTCAAACTCGTACCCAGTGAGAGCTCCAGCTTATAACCAGTGAAGACTCAAGAGAAGACTCAAGCCCCAGCAGTGTAGGCATAGTGATAGCCAGTAAGAGGCGAGCTAGCCGGAGGGACTCCCTTCCATAGAAGTATCGCGTGAAAGGGGCCGTTACCCTTTGTGTTGTAGTCTGTTGGTGTGTAATACACGTGTTGCCTCAGAGTAAGCTTCCTCCAGTTATTACCCACTACTCTACAGTAGTAACTGCAATGCATTTATTCATACCAACACGTTAACACAAACGGGTAACTTCCCCTTTACCAGATAACAGCCTATGGTGGTGGACCACCAGCTAAACTACGCTAATCACACTGGGAGTTAGTTACAATGGACCGGACCCCGGCTTGGGTCCAGGTCCACGTGTTGGTGATTCTTCTAGGACGTAGAACGTAGATCTTCAAATAACGGTAGCAACGCTGAACCCCGGTCCCTGTGGAGACCCGGTTTATATACTCCCGGGTCGTGGTTGGCCCCGCCCTTGGCCACGGCCACCTTCGAGAAACCTCTTGTCGTTTCTCGACCCTTCCAGTAGGATCTTTCCTCCGACACGTGACCATTCCCTAGTCCCCACCTGGGGGCCCCATGTAGACTTTACTGGTCACGTGTCCTTCGGGGTCAACCAGAGTGCCATGGCCCACAGTATCCTCGTTCCTGTGGCCTGCACTCTCACACCCTACCTCTTTAGGGGTCCACACTGCACGCAGAGCGTGGTGCCACTCAGCGCTGTCACTCAGCGCTCACCGAGCCCCCTCTAGGGCTGGTACTACACCCACATATACGGGGTGTCCGCGATGGCAATGCATTGCACGCCGTGCCTCGCTAGAGCCGGCATTACACAGTGACATCCACGATGTCGCTACATACGTGATGTCAGCGATGTGAGTACATCGCACGCCGTGCCTCTCTAGGGCTGGCACCACAGTGACATCCGCGATGTCACCACATATGCAACATTTACAAATTGAAAAGTATTTATTCGTTACACGTGATTTAATGTATGCACCCTGAGGCAAATAAAAATCGATATTAATCGATAACATCTAGGCTTTGGTTAGTTGACTAAGATGTCTCCCTATATATCTTTACATTAATTAAAATAGCTGTGATTATCCAAGCCTTTTAGTAAATTAAGTTACAATGAAGGTAATTCATAATCTACATCTTGTTTCTTGCAGCTCTGTAACGCATTAACCTTCAGTCACCCGGGTATTGGATCATTTATTTTGTTCTCTGTATTTAGATGCGTGTATCTTGATTTATGGCAATGGCGAAGACCAATGGCGAGTACTATCTGAACTTGTCTGGGTCTGTCCTAGACTCAGCTTTAAATTAGTACGTCATGCAGTGTGTAAAACATTACTGCATGTGGTTCTGGCCACACCAGGTGCTTGCTAACAGCATTTACCCCAACTGTCTCGATGAAAGCTACAGGATGTTCTTTGTGTGTGTGTAGACCGGCAGCTGATCACCCTGGTACCAGCAGCGGAACAGGCAGCAAGTGGCAAGGTTTTTGTTTCGTGCTTCGAGGTGCGTGATTCCTTTGTGGCGCTGAATGCATTGGGGGGCAGGTGGTGATGAGCGAGCCTCCCTCAAGCTCTTCCAGTAGCACTTGTGTCCCTATCCATAAAATACGGTTTCACGTTAAAGTCTTGATAGTCTGTTTAGTGAGTCCAGACTTGAGACCTTTTTCCCTTGCCAAAGACTGATGGCCTATCTCTAAAATAAACATTCCCACGGTTTATGTCCAGCATCTTCTAATTCAGTCACATTTAGACACTATATATCCAAATTGTAACGTATGTCTTCATGGTCGGCCTGCAGGATCTTGTAATTAGGGTTATTTTCACCTCAACCCTCATTTCCAAATACAAAAACACACAAATATTAAGTCAAGTACTTATATAAATGTTGTTAAACCCATGTGATAAATACAGCTGCAATCTGTTAAGACTAACAAAAGCGCAACTTGCAGGAGATGGAGGGTACGGATTTTTTGCCGGAGAATGCCACCCCCTCGATCGCGAAGCTGTGACAAAGACGAAGAAGCCACAAGCCCACCCCACTGGTGGCGACGGCACCACCGGCTGCACCGTCAAACCCAGCGTGTCCGGACACCTTGCTTGGAAACCACCCTCAGGGCATAGCTGCCACCTTTCCTCACAAAGGAGGCGGGGAGAAGTGCGGAAATGTGGCGATCATTCCACCAGCAGCTCGGATGACTCCATCTCATTGATGGATCTGCACAAGCGCATCCTCAGGAGAAGGTGTAATGCCTTGGACAGCAGGGTGAGTGGATTCTGGTCACATACATTAGCTGTGCACTGAATAATCAGTATTATCAAATTCAACCAGAGGACTGTCATACGAGGTCCGGTTCACTCCCGGGGACCATGACTACGCGCTCATTTGTTTGGATCTGGAATGTAATTTTTGTCATGCTTTCCTCTGACGTTAATGGGCTTGTCTGGTTTATAAGTAAAGGTACAGCCATTTTTGTCAATCCGGTGCTGGATGAGGCCCCCTCCCCATGCCGTGTGTGTCTGAGAGGGGTTGCTTCACCCACACCGGTCAAGATCCGGGAATCGTAGACAGAATCACTTTTTGAAGTTTGTGGGGCTAATTGGCCAATAAGGTCCATAAAGGAATTAATGGGACACGATACACAACCGCTCTCCATCCAAAACCTGATGACCCCTGTTTTCAAAACCATATTCTTCACCCCCTGATCTAATTTGATCTGTGTGATGAGTCTTGATTGATGCTCGCTGATGGGGCTTTTGGTGAAGGTCCGAACAATAAATGGGATCCATGGCTGTTTTTGCTGCAGTCGGAACACTCGGACCAACATAGTCCACAAGTCGTGAAGAAGTTAAAGGTGCACACCCCTCTCAAGTCAACGGAAAAAACGTAACGGCGAACGCCACCCCATCATTCCAAGCAGCAGAAGTTGTCGACAAACAAGAGGTGTGGCTCGTGCAGATTTCTACATTCATCTTTGCACCAAAACCAGCAGCAGCAGCTATATGACCATTGCTTCCGTCGGCAGCTGGCATCATCATCATTGTCCATAGTAGAGGTTTTTTTTGGGTTATGTCGCATAAATATATAAATGTGTCGTTTAAAACCCGCCACCCACCCGACACAGCCAATATCCAACACAGCCATCATCACCACTTATGGTAACCATAGCATCAGCAGCATTGTCGCCACAAACACCAACATCAGCAGTAACATAATAATAACTAGCATTAGCAGCTGCATCATCACCACTACTGACAGCACAGTAGCTTCATAACCAACAACAACCGCCATTCGCCAGGAGCCAGAACCGGTCCACCGGACCTCCAGAATGCCAGAGATCCATGCGGTTCCGGTCCAGCTCCCGACAGAGGAGTGGCAGCCTTTCCTCCGCAGTGAGCGTTCGAACATTCCACGTGGCCACACGAAGTGGCGTTTCGTTTCTGGAGGAGCCCCGAGGGTGTAGAGATTCAATCTCCTGGCTCCGCCAAATGGGGTTCGGCCAGGAGACGTCATAGATGCCTGTCCCCCCGGGGCCTCCGGCACAAGCTTATTAGTTATATATTTAAGTCTTGGTAATTTTGAAGGTGGAGGGGTTACCATCCCCTCGCACCCGTCCAGAGCCCCCGTTTAGCCACTGTGGTGGTCACAGACGCCATGAAGGGAGAGGCCAATCGGAATGGCCCTCTCCCTCCCCACAGCACTGTCCACGATAGAGTTGCCCGTCGGCACCGCGAGGAGGTAGGGTGGTTGTTTTTGCCGGACCGTCACCTACACACACACGTCTACACACGTCTACACACACACATCTACACACACGTCTACACACACACGTTTACACACACACAAAAAAAGACAAAGATCCCCCGTATAGCCTTAACAGACTGTAGGGGAAAGTGTTATTAGCGAGCACCTTATTAAGGCCGGAACGGTACACTAGGGGGTGGGTGGCCAGCACCACGCCCGACCCGCCTTTGTCTCCCTAGAGGCAATGTTTACACACCGCACCAGGTACTCATTTGAGGCTGAGTCGACCTAGGGGAGGCCCGGGACCGGTTCAGATTATCGTCACCTGTGTTGGCCGTGAGCGGGAATTGAACCCGAGTCGCCAGGTTCATAGCGCAGCACGCTAACCGCTATACTATCGCTCCCCACACACACACACGTCTACACACACACACGTCTACACACACACACGTCTACACACACACACAACAACAACCGCCATTTCGCCGCTAAGTGGCGGGGTGGACGTCACCACGACGCTTGTGCCAGGCCATGTGCACGTTAAAGCCACGTGAAGTGTCGAACGCCTGCTGGCAGGAGGTCACGGGGCAGACCCAGGTGCCATTGGTCGACTGACTGAGATGATTCGCCGATGCACCACTGTGCCCCCTACTGTGCCAACTTGCTGTGTTATAGCCGCCTGGCGCTCCGCTCGTTGTTGTGAGCGTCGCTCTTTCTGCCCTCCATTTTTGTTGGAGGGCGACTGGCTCCAAACTGCCCAGTATCATCCCTTTACGAAGCCTCCTCCACAGAGGCTGATCTTGACGTCGCTGGTACCAGTCATCGGCAAGTACACTCAGCTCTACATCCTCCTGTACCACATCACTTCATCTCTTTCTTTGCCCGTGCCGCGCCCGTTTAGCCCCCTCTATCTGGCCGAACAAAAGCTGTTTAGGCATGCGTTGGCTGGGAATGCAGGCTACATGACCCAGCCAACGCAGCCTTGCCTGCCAGAGGATCTCACCGATGGGGATTGTCCAGATCTTTCAAGGATTTGTGAGCTCCTCACACAATCCAGCCTGGTTAAACCCAGGATGGATCGTAGGCAGGCCAGCTTAAATGTTTCTAACCGGCGAAGATGTTCAATTAGGGGGGGTCCACGTTTCGCAAGCGTAGAGAAGGGAGGGCATGACTGTGGCTGAGAAGACCTGAAGCAGTGTGGCGTGACAGACCTTTAGCTTCCACACAGCGTTACGCCGCTCGACTTGATTCGGATGTGAGACCTCTGCTGTCAAAACCAGAGTCGGCCATGAGCACACTGCCCAGGTATAGGAAACTCTCTACTCACAACTGCCCCATCACCAATTGGGAGTTGTGGGGATGGTTTGTCTGATGGTACCAAATACCCAGGCAGGTGCTTCGTTGTGGTGGGGGCTGATGGTAAGGCTCCAATTCTTAGTGGCAACGCTCCAGGTTTCAGCAGCAGCACCTGGGCATCGATCAGCCTCCCATTGTATCTGTACCAGATGGAAATTCCTCCTGTACAGCCATCGAAGGCTTCACGAATTACGTGGTCGAAATAGATGTTAAATAATGTGTGAGCCAGAGGACATCTCTGTTGCAACCCAAGGTAAACAGGGAATGGCTCCGACTCCCGGCCACGTAGTTTTACCTGGGCCTGCTCACCATCATGAAGGTCCTTAATGATTGTGAGTAGAGAGTCAGGGACTCTGAAAGCACAAATAAAAACCCAGAGCCCAGGCCTACTGATGGTATCATAGGCCTTGACCAGGTCAATAAAGCAGAGATGTAGGTCTTGTTGGAATTCCCTGCACCTCTGCTGTAGCAGAAGGACAGAAAATAGGGCATCTGTGCAGGACCTGAAACGATATTGAGGCTCCGCAAGCCTCTCCTCAGCGTGCCTGGCAAAGCGATGTTGAATAATCCCTGCACGGGACATTCCCGGCACACTAATGAGTGAGATTCCCCTGTAGTTACAATGTGTACGGTCCTCCTTTAAGAGGGGGACCACCAGGGCATCCTTCCAATCCTACGGAACCCATCCAGTGGTCCAGACTGTTATTATGATGTCATGTAGGGCAGTTTGTGTACAAACGCCACCCTTCCTCAGCATTTTTCTTGGGCGATTCTCTGCCTGATGCCTTTCCTGGTCTCACTCTGGATCACCTTCATTACTTCCTCAACAGATGGCATCTCAGCCAGCCACTCACAGGGGGTAACTACTTCCAATATTTGAGACACGGTAGCCTCAGCAGGGTCATCCCCACTTTGCCCCATGATGTTTTCCAGACTGAGGGATTTCCCCTCCTTCAAGACCTTACAGAAATGCTCAGCAAATCTGCAAACCTGTTCCTGGGGGTCGGAGATTGGATCACCGTTCTTTCCCCTAATGGTGGTGATAGCTGTGGCGCTGTAGGTAACTTTTTTTATGAAGTTAAATAGCGGTTTGTGATCGCAGGCCATTGAGGCAGACTCCATCTCCTCAGCAAACCGCGACCACCACCGATCCTTGCAGCGCTCCGAACCTCTGAGCGAAGGCTGCGGTAACTGCCTCATTCTCTGGCGTGGGATGTTGTAGAAGTTTAGAGATTCGGCCTTTCACTTTTTGTCAGCCAGCCTGAACACCTCTGTCAGCCAGGGTCTCTGGGGAGGTCTGGACCATGTACCCAAAGCAGCTATTGCAGCTGCATGATTCACAGTCCTAAACCTCGCCCATTTCCCCTCGGCATCAGGAGTGGGGGACGATGCCAACCGCAGCTGCAAGCGATGATGAAATTCTCGCTTGCAACTTTCATCAGCTAGCTGAGACCAGGCCACTGGGTTTCAATGGGGTCCTGGGTGTACACCCACCACCGTAGTGGAAGAATGGCGGCGCATATTACAGATGACAAGTCGATGGTCAGTGGGCAGATCAGCTCCATGGTAGGTCCTGGTGTCAAGGACATGGGCACGCATCCGCTGTTCTGTTACTATATAGTCCAGAAGATGTTCTTGGTTGGACCCGGCATGCATCCGTGATGTTGTGTGGATGCGCCGGTGTTGGTAATTACAAGCCCATGGGCTGCACAAAAGTCTAGCAGCCTCCTACCGTTGTTATTGAGATGATCTGGCCCATGCCTTCCAATCACTCCAGGTGCCAGCATCATGTCCAACTCGCGCATTTAAGTCACCCAACAGGATGACTCCCGAGGGGCCACTTTAGCTCACACCTGTTACGGGAGGTCATAGAAGTCATCTGACTCATCGGCCTTGCCTACATACCTTCACTGATGTTCATCTTCGGTGGGGGCATAAGTATCCATGACCGCCATTCCTCGCCTCTGGTTGATGGGAAGGCGGCGAGCCCAAAGTAGCCTGGGGCTTACAGCTTCCCACACCTCACCGCCACGCTCTCACGCCCCCTTCATTTTTTTGTTGAGAAGAAGTGCCACTCCCTGTTGCAGTCACCTGCCTCGAGTAGAGGACTGTGTCCACCCCTCATGGTGGCAGGAGCCAGAGCCAGTCCACCGGACCTCCTGAAAACCACAGAGATCCAGGCGGTGCCGGTCCAGCCTCTCCTCGCAGTGAGCGTTCGAACATTCCACGTGGCCACCCGTAGTGGCTTTTTGCTGTTTATGGAGAAACCCCTCGGGTAAGGATTCAATCTCCTGGCTCCACCAAATGGGGTTTGGCCAGCAAATGTCATAGACGCCTGTCTTCCTGGGGCTCCGGCACCAGCCCCTCGCACCTGTCCAGAGACCCTTTTGCCCGCTGTGGTGGCTGGCTACAAACGTCATGAGGGGAAAAGCCAATCGAAATTGGCCTTTCCCCCATGGCACTGAACACTACAGTGTTACCATCTGGCATAACCACCACTACTATCACCAACAGCAAAATAATTGTTGCCATCAAAAGCTGCACAATGATTACCATCACTAATATCAGCAGCTGCATCTCAATCATCAGCAGGATTGGCAGCAGCAGCGTGACATCAACCATCAGTAAGAGCAACAGAATCTTCACCAAAAACAGCGTAAGCAAAACATTGACAGCAGCAGCACAAATGACTCGCTACCATCAGCATCACCAAACAGCAGAAGCAGTACCAGTACAGACAGCAGCACCGTGGACATCAAGACTATTCGTATTCACAGCATTCACATCACCAAGAGCAGCAGAACGAACACCAGCAATGACAGCAGCCGCATGACCATCAGCACCAGCATTAGTTTCACCATACATAGCAGCAGCAACATCATAACCAACGCTCACACTACAACCACCATCAGCAACATCAGCATTGTTACCACCACTACCTTCAACTTCTGCATCACCATGCTCATTACTGTGGTATTGGTGTTATATTGTATGTCTGTTGATAATCTTTTTCACCATACGTAACCAAACGTTAAAAATGGACAGCAGTGAGTTCAGTGGCTAGTGCACTGCTACTAACCCTGCGGTCTAAGATCGAAGTCTATTTATTCACGACCAATAACTGCGGCCGGGAGTGGTGTTGTCACCCCCCACCCCCTTGTGGGCCGTGCCGGCCTTCATAGATGCTTGTTAATAGCACTTTCACCAACAGTCTGTTAAAAGCTATATGGGGAACTTTGTGTTTGTATGTTTATAAACAATATTTATGGTATTTGTGTTTTTCCTACTCTTATATTTTTATTTTTTATAGTTTGCTGTCCCTTAGCAGAACCGAGGGGTGGCTTGATTGTACGTCTGATGCTTCACAAAATACGTCATTGGGTGAGTACATGGAGATTTTGTGCTCAGTGTTTTTCTCGGTACCGATATTGCTGTTGGGACACTACACAGACAAATAACATTGACAGCAGTGCATTGGGTTTGTGCAATATAGCAAAAAAATATGAAAAAAGAATAATCACAATTAAAAATTATCCTTGTATACTTTGATTCTGACGAAAAAAATATTTAAAGTAACTTACCTTGAAAGCTGAACATTTGCTTTTATAATTTGTACAGGAACGTCATTGATTTCAGCCGACTCCTCCATCGCTGGACGCAGAAAGAGGGTGAGTTGTAATACCTGCTCCATCACCTCAATTATATCTGTTGTCCACAACACAACTGGGGCCATGCCCATCAAGTCATGGCTCGGTAAGCTCCAGGTTGGTTATCCACTGCTAAATCTTGAGTCATGCTGCTGACGTTATAGGCAGTGAATAGTTCTATTCGACCAAATAGTTACCCCATCCCTGGCCCTGATTGGCTCCGTGGAAAATTTCAGAGGCTTTTTTGAGGCCAGAGTTATCCTGCATCAACTCTGGCAAATCGCCAGCAGAAAACCATCCATACTCTTGGCACTGTGCTGGCATCGCTCGAAGGCGTCTGAAAAAAGCTTCTAGACGTAGGTTTACAGCTTTATTTTGATGGGAAATTTCTCCCCGAGGGCAGTAAAAAATTACGGCCAGTATAGTAAATAAGAGGCCGGAAAAGCATATTGGGATGAAATAATGTTTAACACATTTTATGAGAATAGGATGTCATTTGTATTTAAAAAGTAAAGGTGCAATCACCTGCTCATGCCAACTCTGACGGAAGGGCCTCCACTAGAGAGAGTTTTAGGGCACTGCCCGGCGCGGGCCCACTCTTCCACACTTGCCGCACCTTGGGGGATTACCCACACCTCACCCCACCACATGGAGACGTTTTGATCAGCTAACTGTGTTATATCCATTTATCCTTCTGGGTGGACAGAGGCAGGTCTATTTCATAAACGTGATAAATCTTTCAACTACATACATGGGGAGATAGAATTATGGATCCAGTCAGCCACAGAGACCATCTGACTGAAGAAAGGCGAAAAGAAAGTCCAATTTGCTAACGATGACACCATAGCAGTATCTCGCAAAATGTTATTGTTTTTATCGCTATACATAAAGAAAATGTTTTTGTTACCATCCTTTCTTCCCCAACTTGTGCCTTCCCAGCAGCACTGGTCTGCTTCCGAGACGATCTGGCTGAAGAAAGGCGTGAAGAAGTACGGCACTGGCAACTGGGCCAAGATTCTAGAGTCGTACAATTTTGTCGGCCGCTCCAACGTGATGCTAAAAGATCGCTGGCGCACGCTCGTCAAGTTGGGAGAGGACAAGCTGGACGTCTAGCGGCCAAAGATAAATGCTCTGCTCGTCGCAAATGAAATACCTGCACACCCACAGTCCTGATAGTGTTGCCAAGTGCAAAAGTGGTGGTTGGTCTTTTCTCGTACATCTCGTTACCACTGCAACTGAGCTGAGCCAGTCCAGCATGGCTCGCCAAGTGCAATTTGGTTTTTCCACTGCAGAAGCCTCGTCGCATCGCTGATGTCACACGCAATAAATGAATTGACACGCACGCAGATGACGCAGTGACTGTCCTCGCCGTGTACTGACTTGACGTCGCACGCGATGAACGCGTCCTTAGCCGAGGCCTGCTTTTGAGGCCAGCTTAAGTGTGGAGCATAGCCAATGGAAAGCCACCTATGCACCCCCATACTGGCTCTGCCCAGAAGTCCTAGTCGAAAAGGGGTATAGATCAATTGTTTCAACATGGCCGGAAAACGTAAAACAAAAATTAACCACTGCCACGATTAAAGTCCCCATATTAACATTTACTACATGACATATGTGTCCTTCAAGAGAAGCACACATCTGATGAAGAGGCTAGAGTTGTATGACGTGACGAATTAAATCCAAACTGTCCATTCAGAATGTCTGAGGCCACAGTTAAAATTCTGTCTAGGTATAATTCTTTAGTTGATGTTATGTTTGGACACCCTGTATATACATTTCAAGTGAATGCAAGGATAGTTGCATTAAGTCCTCGTTTAATGCGGTATGCGTTCTGAAAAGTGCCGCATTAAACGAAAAATTGTCCCCATAAGTAATTTAACAATAAAGTATGGAGAGATACAATGTACGCACACAAAAAAAGATTGTGGCATAACTGAGGGTATGCCGCTGCATGACTATCTTTCTGCGAACTGTATCATACTGCTCGGCGGCGCAGCCCAAGAAAATAGTTATTTATCGACCACTCAGAAACTGCTTTGTAACGGGGCGCGTTCTGCGTTATGTGAAAAGTGTTCCCGAATGGAAGAACCGCGTTACAGTGAAAACACGTGTGAACACCTCAGGTTAAGCGAGGACCTGATGTACATGAGCACACGTGCGCACTCGCATTTAGAATTTTGGAGTCTTGTACCTGATACTTTTTAATAAAAAAAAGTAGCGAAGTTTATATTGTCCCATATAAAAAAGTAAATACTCTCTTACTATAGCATCAACACGACTTGCACAGGTGAGCCCAATTCTTATTTTATATACAGTAAAACCTTGGATTGCGAGTAACTTGGTCTGCGAGTGTTTTGCAAGACGAGCACATTTTTTAAATAACTTCATTTGATAAACGAGCGAGGTCTTGCAATATGAGCAGTACATATACGCTTTCTGCCGAGCGTCACGTGATCACAACTGATATACGAGTGCTTTGATATACCAGTGCGTTGGATTACAAGCACGTTTTCAGAACGAATTATGCTTGCAATCCAAGGTTTTACTGTATATGCCTTGTACTGGTAGCAACGAAGTTGTAAACTGAGTGTACCAGCCTGCAATAGATTAATATGTCCGTCCCCTTTCAATACTTTAACGAAGTGAAATCTCGTGCTGTTGGGTGTAATAAAATTGCGCAAAATTCCAATGTTCCTACCAGCCCACCCTGCAGGGACCTGTTTATTTAATTCTTCCTCATGGCAGGCTGCAAAGTTTCGTTTTGTGCTACGTGGGAATGGTGTTGGTTTTGAAGTATTTGGCTGCGATAGATTCCCACGTGAAAAGCAATTTTGTTGAGTTATAATGTGGCCAGAGCGCTTCTGAAAAATAGCTATTTAGCTCCGGGGACCTTACCTGGTAAAATAAAACGTTTCTTACATTGGTGCAAGTTTAGTAAATTCCCCCTACCCCTCCAGCCAGCAGTATAAATGGATTCAGTCGATTGGCAGGTCGAGTGTGGTGAGAGTAGAGCTCCCTCGTGAAGACCCTTCTGCCAGCACTTAGCGTGATCAAGTAATTAGCTGCACGTTTACCTGTTAGACACAACTTGATTCGATGGCGAAAAAGGCGAGTGTTGAGACATTTCTCCGGAGTTGCAGGTGCCTCGATAGTAAACTTTATTGTAATTTTGCTTAATTGAAAAGCGTATTTGTGTGTGTACATATACGTAAGCGAGATGGCTTACACACATCTTAGTGATGTATGCTGCCTAACTGCCTGATAATAAATGTATCATTTTCGTGAGTGCATCTCTGCACTTTCAGATATTTTTCCTCCTTTTTAAAGTAAATGTTACTGGTCCATGTGCAATCGTAACTAATACGCACTGCAATTGTGTTTTTGTTTTAGACATTCGTATTTGACCTTTTGTTATCAGTTTGTTTTCCATTAAAAAAACTCCAACTCTTCATTCGATTAACTGCAATGCGGCCATGGAACGGATTCGTGGGCACGTGTGTATCTTTACAACTTTTTTGTATTGCAGTCACATTTGTATTTTCTACCATTAGTCCGCGCATACTTGTTATAAATGTACAGTTGAATGTCCAAATTATTTCAGTATGTAACATAACAAATGAAACTTGCGTGGAAAAGGTTACAAACGAAATACAGTTGAGGTACCCGTTGGTTCCATGACAAGCACCTAGGCCTCACTTGTTCTCGTCAATGTGTTCATCCCATCAATTCTTATCTCTGCTCTTTGTTAGTCTCGCAATTACATGTATTTTCAATGTTATGATCAACGGAGGAAAGTAGATTTACCATACTTCTCACCTTCAACCCGCACGGCGTGGGGAAACCCCCATCCAGCAGTGGATTTACAGCTGTAACGCAAAGTGTACCTCATCGATACTCCCCGATTTCAAATTCCTGTTTTTTTTTTTACACATCCTGTCGTTCCAACGGCTTTCCTTCTGGGAGTAGCATCATTTCAGCAGCATTAAGTACTTGTTCTCGACAAGCAAAACTCCGGACCGATTTCGACATATAGTGTCTCATCTGCAAAGTCCAGGCTTACTTAAATCAGTGCTGGTGAACTGCCATATGTTATAGGCAAGGGCTTTACCTGTTAGATTTGGGGTCTTAGTTGGACTCAAAGTTAAATAATACAAAGCCTCAAAGTTAAATAATACAAAGCATACCAATAATGTGCATGCTTGTTGAATGTAGGTCACGAATGACAAAAAAATAACTCGACACGTTCTTCAATGACACTGGCCTTAAAAGGGGAAATATATACTCGGCGACGTTTCGGTCAATGACCCTTCTTCATAGTACATTAAACGGAGTATCACCAACAACTTTGAACTTAACAAAATAGCTCCGTTTCGATTTCGTGTCGTTCCCCCCCCCCGCTCCTCTTAAGTTAAAGGAGCGCAAGACGATGGAGAGTTCAGATGGGAGTTTCAATGCTTGAGATCGGCCGGCAGGGGGCGCGAGATTGATGAGTCGAGGCGTGAGCGTTGTGGCGACCGTTGCACGCATAAAGACGGAGCAATGAGATCCCGGCTCGTGTGCCTGCAGCAGATGCGAGACGGATTGCTAGGTCGTTCTGCAACAGTTAAGAGCTGCTGATATAATTACCATCTTTTCAGGGAATTAGACTTGTGGCTCGGGTTTGTGTTGAATGCACCGTATCTCGGAACATTTTCAAGGTAAATGTCCTGGATTGGTCAAGGCAGTCTCTGCGATTTCTGAAAATGTCTGGCACAGTGTTCGACCTCCAAAGCCTGTGTGAATTTAAAGATTTTATACCAAGGTTTAAAATGTTCTGACTTTATGATTTGGCCAAATGGCAGGGCTACCTGAGGAGTAGGTTGCGGCTGATGAGCGGCAGGCGGGGCCATCGTTAACAAGAGCGAGGCTATTTGTCGAGTCGGCCGGGCTAGTGCTTGAGTGGTCGTGGTTATGTCAACAATGGGCGGGGCTGAAGGAGGCAGTAAGAGCTCGCCACATTTCCCAGTTGAGCCTCCCAGAAATTAGCATATTCCATCGTCTGTTTTTATCTCGTCAGTTCTAAATCCTTTCACAAAGTGTGCCTTGAGCCCATGATTATCAATAAGTATTTATAGCCAATCCCATATCTTCTCTAATCCCAATGTAATGTGTACTTTTATCCCATAAAAGCACTTCTGCACTTATAAAATGTCTATTGTCACAATAATTGCCAATTCTTCAAACATGGTTCCAACACATTTTTAGAAAAGTTAAAAAATACTTTATTCACGTGCATTTTAAAAGGGGCATTTGTAACAGGTACACATCATGGATAGTTCACAAAAATATCGGGACACGATGTTTTACAATGGAGTGTACACTGGAAGAAAAAGACGGATCCATTAAGGATGTCAGAGAAAGATCTGGAATGTTACTTGGGGTTCAGTCACTGGCAACGCATGGCTTTGCTCTCATTGTATGGAATGTATTATGTATGCTTCGATCTAACCTCAGTGGGGTGTTGCTCAGTTATATATGTAGACATTTGCAGTCCTTTTCGTCAATCCACTGCTGGGTAAGGGTCTCCCCACCAATGGGTAAATGAGGGTTATTTGGTCACACCTCAACAAGGATGGTCAGTGCAAATTGGTGAACAGAGGGAAGGCGTGGACGTGGGAGAAAATAAGTACAGTACAACAATGGGATTTCCTGCACAGGCCTCTGCTGCCCAACACGTTGGCCCACAGCCTACAACACGCTGCTGCCGTGCACCATGGTCGTCCTTCCGCGCACCATACAGGCAGGCTCAACTCTGCAAAGCTTGTGAGATCCGATTAATGTGGGCGCATTCCTGGGCGATTTGGTCAGAGGTGAGTACAGGGTGGTCTCTTTATAGATACCCCACTAATACACTTATAAATCCTTTCAACCCCCCCCCCCCCTCTAATATACAAAGCAATCGCTTTCACAACACAATATATTCAATCACCTGTTGACAAGACGGCAAGGCTGTCGATGTCAATCAGTGGGGTACCTTACGCGTGGATCATCATCGACAGAGTATACGCCACTTCGAGATTTGGTTGGTGGTTTTGGGAGTGTGAGAGGCGGCGCTCCCGAGGGTCCGAGGGTCGTCTACTCGAGTTTGCGCTTGTTGCGGAAGCGAATGATGGTGCACAGAACCCAGAAGTTGAGCAGCAGCATGAGCGTGAATCTCAGCAGCACTGCGTCAAGCGCCAGGCAAAAGGAAACAACATCGCAACAAGGCCAGCTATTATATTTGAAAAAGTTACATCACGTAGAAAATATATACGAACGTGAAAACGGGTGCGTTTTGAGGAGCAATAGTATATTTTGTGCCGCTTGATTTGTTATTCTAACTTTGCTAGTTTTAAGGTAGAAGTAAGTACAATTTTCACAGCGTTTTTTTTCACGAAATATTTAATGATTGTAAATAATAAGTGATATACGGCACTTTGTCAAGTCATTGTTGGATTAAGGTCTCCCCATGCCATGCCAATCATGGGGTTGGTTGACCACACTACACCAGCTGGTCATTGCAGTTTGGTGGAGGAGCCCAAGGCCCTGTTCAGATTTTGCTCGCCGCTCATGTTAGCGGTGGCTGTAATTGAAAATGAACGCAGCTGGACGGGTTCAGAGTGCAGGGTGGCGCAGTGTTGAATGTTTCCATTTGTTCAAATATACTTTATTTTGCTGCTGCAAGACCGGTGGAACTGCTTAAATTTAGACGAAGAAAAAGAAAGGAAGAGCATTTAACACTTACCGGCAAAGTCTTGAGTCGTCATGAATGTTGTGAAAATTCTGGCTGTGAAGTCAAGCACAGGCACACACCCACATGAAAAAATGCACAAAAGGTACAAAGAATCCCCATATAGCCTTCAGCAGACTAAAGGCAAGTGCTGTTAGCAAGCACATATGAAGGCCGGAACGGCACACGAGGGCGTGGGTAGCCAACACCACGCCCGGCGATGTTTACACACCGCACCAGGTACCCATTTGAAGCCGAGTCAAACTATGGGAGGCCCAGGACCGGTTCAGATAATCGTCACTGACATCGACCGTAAGCGGGAATTCAATTCGGGTCGCCGGGTTCGTAAGCTCAGCACGCTAACCGCTACACTACCCCTCCCCTCAAATTCACACACAGCCACACACACATAGGCATACAGTCACATACAGAGGGCTTCAGTGAAAACGAGGAATAACTGATCGAATGTTGCAATTCAGTCCCCCCCCCCCCCCCCACCTTAGCAATTTGATAAATTGTTATGATTCAGTCATCATGAGATTCAATAACAAGTTTATTGTCTTGATTGTGCCACCTAGTTCGTATATATCGCTTCTTATTTGTTCCATGTCGTTTGTACAATTGTGTCAACATCGGCTGAAACGCAACAGTATTGAATATAATTTGGATTAAATGTGCATTATTTGTAATTCTCCATTCTCACGTAAAATTTGGTTCTGCTCTTAATTTGCCTAAACCCAGCCGCGAGAATAAAAAAAAAATGTGCTGTCCGTCTGTCACGAGATGAACTTCACTCTCACTGACAGAGCAAGGGTGGAAAAGTGCCGTCCTATAAAGTGCATCCCAGAGGCACAACTGAAGGAACTCTGGTATCCGCTCCCGTGGGCCGTTCTCCAAAAACAAAGGGCCTCACTGCTTTGCGAAAGTTCCCAATGGATACTTCGTCACGTGACGCGACGCTGATGGCGAAATTCGGATAAAATTTTGGGGGAAAAAAAAGTATTTAAAAATGTAGAAAAAGGGTCGCATGTGGCCGAGAGCTGTGCACACCTGCACTTGTGTACATGGCCATTGCCCAAGTGGCGGCGCTGAGCTGCCCCGAGTCCTGGCTCTTCCAGAGGCTTCCGAGCTGAGCCAGTTTACTACCGACACCTACCATTGTACAGCAAGCCTGCGCACACGCACACACACATACAATGTTTTAATTAAGATGAAAAAACTAATTTCTTTAGAAATTCTAGATTTCTTTAGAAATGCTTTTTGTGTTCTTTCCCCCCGCACCTCCCATTAACACGGTCGGCAACACACGGTGCGAAATAGATTCAATATGCATACGTGCTAATCTATATGAACGCATACATTACAAGACTAAGATCCCTCCGCATAGCAGTAACAGACTGTTGGAGCAACTGCTGTTCATGAGCAGCTATGAAGGCCAGCACAGCCCATGGTCAGATAGCGCGGCTAGCACCAAGCCTGTCCGTATTCGCCTCCCAGCACTGATGTGTTTTGTACACCGCACCAACCACTGATGTTGCCCGTAGCCAGAAATCTTACTCAGGTCGCCAGGTTTTGTTGTGAGTTCCGCTAACCACTGTGCCTCCATTCACCGCATTACAGTACTACCCACACATGCACAAACGCGCATGCATTTCGTGATGCGGCCGTCCATAAATGACGTCAAGCAATTTTGCCCGATTTTTGACCCCCCCCCCTCCTCGTCACACGGCGTCACAAAAAGTCAGACCCCCCTCAAATATGACGTCACAAAGCTGTGCCCCCCCCCCACCCCCAAAACAATCTTTCCATCCCCCTAAAACAATCTTTCCATTTTGATAATAAAACATGCTTCAAATCACTTTAAACTATTGTCATTGTAGGGCGTATTTCATGTGGCGCTGCACTCTGATGATGTAGGAGAAAACACGTATTAAAAAGGCGTTGGAAAGCTTAAATTTAGCATAAAATTCACTTGAAAATATTCGTCTAACTAAAACTGCAGATGTTCAGAATATTATATTGAAATTCTCTTATAATTATAACATATTAAAAGTAATTATCACTATAAAAATACTTGAAACTTTGTATTAGAAAGAAGCAAAATGGAGAGTACAATTATAACAATCACATATTCATTTCACAGAATGAAAAGCCCTGGTAGAATCGTTAAAATAAAAATGTTTAATAACAATCATTCAAAACATCTACAAAATGTATGCTCCATTCTCCCATGGAGAAGCAAAATGCTCTTTCATGGAATAAATAAAAGGTGACCTTAGTAATTTTAAATAATCAAATAGTTAATAATGAATATTATTCAAAATAAGTGTTGTTATAACAATTATATTGTTTATATTTAGTTGCGCATTTTGATGTGACGTCACATTTCTCAAACCCCCCTCCCCACACATCGTCACAAATGTCTGACCCCCCTCCCCCCTCCCTAGGTGTTTGACGTAATTTATGGACGGCCCCTAATGTATATGAACATGCATGCACTTGCACATATATAAGCACAATTATACACATGTACATGTGTAATGGGTTCAGTCTGGGTGCACACTAGAACTTGGAGGCAACACGTTTTATTCACCAACATCACATAACCCTTGACAGAATGACAACCTATGGTGGTAACCCACCGTTCCTACACTTAGCTATATACACTTGGGAGTAGATGGCTATTTACATTCTGGATGGGGCAACTACAAATCGGACCAAGTCAGCCAACACGCTGCCCGGTCCACGTGCGAGACGCCCGGTGCTCGGCCTTTATCCTTACGGCGTGACCAGGCCCCGCCCTTGGCCACGCCCCTTTTCCCGATCCTTCGTGAGGGTCCAGGACCCATCTCACAGTGTTCCTCAAACCTGGCCCCCCCCCCCGGCCGCCGTTCGCACATCCGGTCACGTGCCCCTTCCTGTTTACCCAGCCTCTCCCCAGGTATGCCCATCCGGTGCCATGGAGAGGCTCCGCCCCTACAGTACCACCCACACGGTACTGTCTCTACACAACGGTACCCACATCAATGACGCTCCACATGCACTAGTACATACATCTACACGAGCATACATATGCACATGCTTGCAAATGCCCATGCATTAATATCCATGTCCAAACATTCGATTCACAAGAATCCAAATAGTATCTTAACTCACCATGCAGATATCTATAATCCAGTCCTTGAGCGTTATGACCTTGATCGCGACCAGACATCTGGCATGTGGTTAAAGAGCTCTGGATAAAGACGCACCGTCATCATAAGTCATGACCATCATCAGTCACGATCAACCCACAGCTAGACGAAGGGATCTCCCAAGCCGTCAACTTCTCTCACGGTCCTGCGACAATAACAATTAGTCCAGCTCGTACAGATTTCTTTGCTCCATGTCTGTGGAGGACATCCTCCCAACCCAAGCATGTTCCCTCCTTTGGCTGCAAACCTATAATCAACTCCAACATTGGCCATCATCCTTTAAAACTAAACTAAACGTTTTATTTTACCAGTTAAGGCCCACTGAGCAATATATACATTTTTCAGACCTGGCCACAAATGATAGCTCAACGAAGTGGCTTACGTGGAAATTTATCGTAGCCAAATACTCCAACCGCTTGTTTCTAAATGTGGAAGGAAAAACCAGAGGACCCGGAGAAAAATCCACACGACCACAGGGAGAACATGCAAACCCCAAATATACAGGCATCAGGGTCAGGATCGAACCCACAGTCTGCTGTATACCAGGTAAGGTAGTTAACAACTTGCCACCGCGGTGCCCTTTGTAGCAAGGTGTTCTGCCAGAGGCCACGTACATTTCTACACGGTCAATACGATACCTCTAACTTGCGCTACACTCTAATCCACACGTTTCTAGATTTGAAGCTTTCGTGACTGCAAGGATCCATACTCTTTGGTTCTATTCGGTTCTATTCGGTGTTCCTCTTCCTGCCACACGGTGTGGTCCCAAGCGACAAGGTCGCCAACCCGAGCTTCTCATGGGTCGGCTTCCACAGTCAGGAACTCGTCATCTAATGACCCCAGGCGTTTGGCGCTCGGCTTGTCGCGACCCCCATATTCAAGCATCGCCTAAAAACGAAAACTCTTCCAAGGCCGTCTCCTTCATCAAGTAGCTGAGCAGCGGAGACGGAGGCCTCCACGCTCGGGCGACGTCCGCTCCGGTTTACGTTGCTGCTCTCAACGGTGGCACCTGGCAAGCAAATCTGAAATGTATTATCATCGCCCTGGATGCGAATCCCTCGGTTGGCACCCGTGATTCAACTATGACTTCAAGGATAGCAAATGAATTGTCTCAACCCAGCTGTTCGTGGCTGCACAAAAAAAAAACATAAAACATTTGGCGACACTGCATTGGCATGGGTGCACAAGCAAGAATCGCAAAAAAAATCAACACATTCGTCATTAACAAAATAATTAAAATTACACTTTGCATTATTCACTTATTGTAGCCTAGACAGCTCCCAGTGTTGTAATAGATGTTGCTTTGAAGGCCCTATGGTGTAAAGTGCAGTCTTCAATTCAAATCCACTCAACCTCTATAGCCTATTTGTTGTGTAGAAGGTCTACTGCCAGAAACATCACCTATTCTATACTTTGCCTTTAAAGGCCACAGGGTTATCGGACACATTGTTGTTGATCCAACAATGTATCCGATTTGCAAAATGTGCAAGTAGAAATTGCTTCGTTATCATCAACGAATGTGTTGAGTTTTGTTTTGTCAAACCTGCTGGACAGTGTGTTATGATGAATTCCGATATTTATTTTCCCAAGTAGGCATCTGTTGAACAGTAGTAGTGCGTAGCAATGTTGTGCAGCCTGCTGGATTAAGCCTATGACCAAATAACCCGCAATGCATCTGATCTCATAAGATCTCGGAAGATTAGTTGGATACGAGCCTGGACAATGCTTGGATGGGCTACCACGACGCATAAAACAGGTTGATACAGAATCTGGGGGCAACTTTGTGCGCATCAGAGGGCAACTGCAGCACATCGATCTTTGTACTGTACTACTCTGACTCCCATGTTCATGCTCCCCACCTTCACCAATGTACACTGACCGGCATGCTGAAGGACAGTCAAATAACCTTCGTAACACGTGTGGCACGGGGAGGCCTTCATCCGGCAGTGGCCTGGCAAAAGGGCTGTGCATGAGGATACAAGGAGGCGTAGAAAATGATGCTGAGGCCCAGGTATCCATTGTAATACAGTACGAGCAGCAGCAACAGCAAATCTGTGGGGAGAAGATTTCGGAAGTGATTTGACGACTCACAGAATGCGCTACAGAGTGCGGCAATTACTCTTGAGATGTACCTATATATATTCTTGGTTCTTTCGGTAAAGTCACGTAGAAGGGAAACAATAAAATAATAAAAATATAAACCAATATTTTTATTATTTTGTTATTATTTTATTGTTTCCCTTCTACGTGACTTTACCAAAAGAACCAAGACTATAAATCCCTGCAGTCACGAAAGCTGTAAATAAAAATGTACCTATATATACAGCTCTTTGTCATTCCACTAATGGGTGAAGGCCTCCCCTCTCCACATTCAGGCCATGGGGGTTATTTGACCGCACTTCACGCTGGCCAGCGCGGGTTGCTGAAGGCCCGAAGGACGCATATACAGTACAACAATGGATGTTACTCTTTCATTAGTGGCCAGCATTGGGATGTTAGGATAATTACGTGTGGGAGGAACCCAGTATCCAGAGAAAATCCACCAAGCATACGAAGTGAGGACGCTGTACGGTCGTCACAGATAGGTTCACAGACCCATTTGCTGTACTTGCATATTCTGGCCACCTCGCAGCCCAAATATCTACGTGATGCACCAGTCCCTGCCTTTAAAGTGCTGGATCGCAGCTCGTGTGCCACGGGAGTGCGAGAGTGTGATGTAACGAGGACTTCAGTTCCACACTGCAGAGTGAAGTGTTCGGGGCCGTCCATAAATGACGTCACGCGATTTTTGACGATTTTTGACCCCCCCCCCCCCTTCGTCACATGGTGTCACATGGCGTCACATAAAGTCAGACCCCCCTCAAATATGACGTCACAAAGCTCTGCCCCCCCCCCCCCCCCCAAAAAAAATAAAACATGCTTCAAATCGCTTGACACTATTGGCATTGTTAGTGCGTATTGAATGTGGTGCTGCACTCTGATGTCGTAGGAGAAAACATTTATTACAAAGTATATTTAATTAAGTAGAACGTGTTGTCTATATTTATTTAAATTTGCGCATTTTGATGTGACGTCACATTTCTCAAACCTCCCCCCCCCCCTCGTCACACATCGTCACAAATGTCTGACCCCCCCCACCACCCTAGGTGCGTGACGTCATTTATGTACGGCCCCTTATGTACAGAGGACTTGAGTTGGTACTGCAGAGTGAAGTGTGGTGTAACAAGGTCCTGGCTTTCATACTGCAAGTTGAAGTGTGATGTCATGAGGACCTGATTTTCGTACTGCAGTGAAGTGTATTGTCACGAGGATTTGAGTTTTGTACAGCAGAGTGAAGTGCATTGTAACGAGGACTTCCGTTGTATACTGCAGAGCGAGTTCTGTTTAACGGTTGTCGGGACCGAGCGAACGTCCCAAATCGCCTACCTTGGATCACAAGGATCGGGTACTCGAAGTAGGTGGGCGCCGGGTAGCCGTAGTACATCTGGTACGCGAGGAATATCACGAACCTGTGCGAGACGACCACCGTTCATCGTGAGTGTTAGTACATGTTACACGATTTTATTTAACTCACTCTTGTCTGTTGTTGTATCGTCAAATCTTGTAACTCAATTTTAACCCACTTCCCAATGTGGTATCGACTGCAAACTTGGTATGCTTATGTCATACTGATGACAATACTACATTCTATCATAAAAATAAAACATATTTAAAAAAAATATTTTTTATATGTTAATTGTCCACAGTCAACTGACGTTGGCTGTAATTCACCACGGTCCCTTACGTTAAGGCAAGCTTCGGAGCCACTTCCTGGAGTTATTTCATTACTAGTACGGTACATTTAATTAAGGCGTGTTTTAAAAAAAAGATTTTAAAAATATTACTTATTCAAATCAACGTGCGTGTCTTGGCCCGTGTGTTTTTTATTGGAGAGCGGTGGTGCAGCGGTTGGCACACTTAGCATAAAAACCCAGCCAACCTGCGTTGGGAGTTTGGATTAGGTTTGGGGTTAGTACTGTTGGGTCCAGGGTTAGGACTAGGATAACGTTTAGGTTCGGTGTTAGGATCAGTTACTTTAACATAAAGGGTTCGTGTCTATGTTATGCGTTCTGGTCAGGGTTATACCAGGTAGAGGCAAGCTTACGGTAATGGGTATATTCGAAGTCCTAGATTAGGGTTGGTAGCAGCAACTAGGGTCAAGGTTCGAGTTTAGAATGAGATATTGATTCCATGTTAACGTTATCAACGGGGATACGGTTGAGGTTTGAGCAAGGATTAGCTGTAGGAACCATGGTTGTTCGATCCAGGGGTTAGCGTTAGGGTTGTCAGGACCGTCCATAGCGGGGGGGGGGGGAGGGGGGGTGACAGCGTAACGTTCAAGCACCCAGCCCCCCCCCCATCCCCAAAGCGCGGGGCCCAGGGCTATCGCCCCGATTCGCCGTACCCTCGGAACGGCTCTGAGGGCAAGGTGGAAGGAGTTAAGGTGTCTTGGGTGGGGGGGGGGCTCAGTGTTAGCACCAGGGGATAGGGATAAGGTTGTGAGATCTGGGATAGGTTTAGAGCAGGGGTGGGGAACGTCTGGCCCGCGAAATCATTTTGGTCTCTGGCCCTGCCAAGGCAACCGCAGGCGGGACTCGAAATTCAATCAATCTAGGAGAGCAAACCTGGAAAAGCAGTTGCCAGTAGCAACATCGTCAATACCAGCTAACATCATCAATACCAGCTAACATCATCAATACCAGCTAACATCATCAATACCAGCTAACATCATCAATACCAGCTAACATCATCAATACCAGCTAACATCATCAATACCAGCTAACATCAATACCAGCTAACATCATCAAAACCATATAACATCATCACACGCCTCGCCAAAGAGAAGCAGTTCCAGCCCATCGCGTTAGGGGTGAGTTCATTAAATTGTTTGCCCAAATATAACAGGCTAATTTTTAAGCTGATAATTTTGTATAATGTTATATAAATATCCAAATGGCCCTTGGCAGAATGAAGGCTTCCCCCACCCCTGGACTTCGGAGGGCTCAGGTTGGAGGGGGTCGTGGCCCAGGTTGGAGGGGGTCGTGGCCCAGGTTGGAGGGGGTCGTGGCCCAGGTTGGAGGGGGTCGTGGCCCAGGTTGGAGGGGGTCGTGGCCCAGGTGTCACGCGTGGCTCGCTACCCGCTGAGTTCCAGGAAGAGGCTGGGCAGACTGAGTCCGCGCGAGCTCCTGCTATTGACGAGCAGCACGATCTGCGGCAGCTTGAGCACCATGCTGACCAGCAGCGTGCTGAAGTTCGCCGCGTCCAGCAACAAATCCATGCTCCGAATTAAAACGAGATACGACCACAACAACAACAACAAAAATCACCGCGACACAAAACCACACCGCCGACGCACAAGCGCGGCGCCTCGCAATGGACGTGGCCAAGCAGCGCCGTTTAGATACTCCAGACCGCAATGGCAGTGGCGTCGCGTGATTGGCGGAGTCCGCACGAGTGCCGCGCTTCTGATTGGCTCGTAAGGGAGGCGGGGTAGGGGGGGCGGGACGGAGAAAGGGGGCGGGGGCACGGTTCCACCAATGAGAGATGGCCTTTACATCCCCTCCCCCCACCCCCCGCCGAGGTCGTTGCTTATGCGGTTTGGAGAATGTAAAAACGATCGTTTAAAGGTGCAGGAGTGCATCCACGTGGGGTGGGGGGAGTGCAACACGTGGTTAGATAATCTGACACAACGCTTCAAGCACGTGGACACCAACCCCCCCACCTACCCCCTCGGTAGTATGACATCTGACATCGTGACGTGGAAGCGCGCCCCCCCCTGCCCCCCAAAGCGTGGGGCCCGGGGCGCTCGCCTCGATTTTGCGTAACCTGTTAACATCTGTGGTATAGAGAAGGGCGCATCTCTGCAATTGATTGCAAAACGCCACTGGTTCTTTCGGTAAAGTCACGTAGAATGAGAATAAAATAATAAATTGATAAAATAAAATAACACAATAATATTCTCACGACGTTTCGGCCACAACACAAGCGGCCTTCATCAGGTGAAGGGGCGAGACTGTCCGGTAGGACACGAAACGTCATGAGAATATTATTGTGTTATTTTATTTGATCAATTTATTATTTTATTCTCATTCTACGTGACTTTACCGAAAGAACCAAAGAAGATGAATCATTGCAGTCACGAAAGCTTCAAATCGAAATTTAAAACGCCACTGCTTCTGGAAAGGATCTCCAGTGCTTGGCTGCAGCGATCTCCAATCGTGCGAAGCTGTCCGTATGGAGCAAGTCGAGTAGGGGTGTGTTTTTGGCCTACTCTTTCACGCTGGCCAGACGTTTCGGAATTATTCTGGGAGGCGGGGGGTTACCCGCACTTTACCCCACAACAGGCGACCTGCCGAGCGACTGTGTTTGTAACCCGTTGATGCTGTTAGATTGGCGGATTTGAGAAGTGTGCCTGTTTGTTGCAACTTGGCACGTCCTGGGTTGAACGACCCGGTGACGTGTCGAGTGTGCTCGCTAACCAGTTACACCAATGGCGGTATCGTGGAATTCGTAAAAATATATATTTCTACGGGAGTGTGTAGGGGGGCCCGTCCATAAATGACGTTACGCGATTTTGGAAGATTTTTGACCAGCCCCTCCCCACCCTCGTCACACGGCGTCAAAAAAGTCAGACCCCCCCCCCCTCAAATATGACGTCACAAAGTTCTGCCCCCCCCCCTCCAAAAAAATATATAAAACATGCTTCAAATCGCTTTAAACTATTGTCATTGTAGTGCGTGTTTAATGTGCCGCTGCACTCTGATGTTGTAGGAGAACATATTTATTAAAAAAAGTCTATTTAATTAAGTAGAACGTGTTGTCTATATTCATTTAAAGTTGCGCATTTTGATGTGACATCACATTTCTCAAACCCCCCCCCCCTCTCGTCACACATCGTCACAAATGTCTGACCCTCCTCCCCGAGGTGCGTGACGTCATTTATGGACGGCCTCTAGCCCCTTTTTTGGTGAAGTATGGTCAAATATCCCCCATGGCTCGCAATGCGTGGGGGAGGCTTTCATCCAGCAGTGGTATGCCGAAACAGGCGCTACACCTGTACAATGTACAATTTATGTGAGCCTGCATAGAGAGGCACGTTGTAACGCGAGGCTCTATGGCGAACGAAGTCCCCACGACGGAGCTGACACGCTTGCACGCTACTGAATGATTTGTTTTTTACTTTAACCCGCGCACTGCCGCACAGTCGCGCCATTCATTGAGCAAATAATGAGCGCGTTTAAACATTGCAGAAGAAGAAAAAAAGCTTTAATCAATTGCACTGCAAAAGAGCTCGTTATTCCCATAATGAATGCCAGCCATATGGGATATTAACTGTCTCAAGAAAAGTAAAGCCCGCTTTGTGGCAGAACGAGTCGCAAGGGACTTGACGATGGAGTGGCAAGCAAATGGGGAAAACGCTCACGAGGATGGCCACCGAGGAGATGCAGCGTCGGGATCGGCTCGAGCGCAGGATCCAGACGGATCGTTCCATGGCAGGACCGCGGGAGATGGCAACTGCTTTTTGGAAGCCTTTATTCACCAGTGAATAGATCATGGCTCATTATATTAACGAGTATAGGGAGAGAACATCTTTAATGCAACTAGGTAATCAGCGAGGCTTTTAGTGTCTTCTCTGGTCTGTGCGCTGCGAATGATGGTACAGGCCTCTAATGCAGGGTATGGTTGACGGATCCCCAGAGATCACCGTGTCGGTAAGACTCCCAGCCTGTAAGGGCTTGAGGTGGGCTTTCTCCAACTTGCAAAAAAACACTCGTTACAATATACATTTGCCAAACATCACACGCAGGACCGTCCTGACCACAGTGAGACTTTGCCGAGGTGGCTCAGAGAACAGAGGACTGAGCTGGCAACCGCTGAGACCCTGGGTTCGAATCCAGGCAAGCGCACGTGATTAAACCAGGTTATCTGGTGCAATGAGTTGATCGTCTCAGCCTGGTCACATATGTATGCGCACACACACACACAAACCTAACCGTTTCAAATTTGGTTCTGCACCACTTTGGTGAAATTCCAGTTCTTAAAATTGAAGATATCGCTACGACTGTCATGCTAAGAACATTACTCACATTGGCAGAGCTGGTGGGAGAGGGCTGCCACTTATAGCACGGACCAGAGGTGAATTGGAGGGAACCCAGAGGTAGCTCTGTGATATCCAATTCTGTGGATAAAACACGGAGGGTCACACCGCTGACCGACAGATAACCTATTGAATACTTCACATCTTAACATAATACCGATAGTACGGTCAAGGTAAAATTATAGAAAAAAAGATGATGCATAGAAATTGTAACTTAAATGGATAAATGGAGCACATGATTATTACCATACCTACTATAATCACCCACGAATGTCTGTCCTTAATGCTCGTGACGTCTCTCCACATCGAACAGCCCCCCTCATTAATAATCATGAGCAGGTGACATCCTCCAAATGGACACCCCCCCCCACCCCTCATTAATAATCATGAGCGGGTGACGTCACTCAATATGGAGTACTCCCCCACACTAATAATCAGGCGCGAGTGACGTCACTCCACATCGAACAGCCCCCCTCATTAATAATCATGAGCAGGTGACGTCCTCCAAATGGACACCCCTCCCATTATTATTAGCTACTATAATGAGCCAAGAATGTCTGTGTGCAACGCTCGTGACGTCACTCCACGTCGACCAGCCCCCCTCATTAATAATCATTAACAGGTGACGTCCTCCACATGGACCCCCCCTCATTAAGAATCATGAGCAGGTGACGTCACTCCATATCGAACAGCCCCCCTCATCAATAATCATAAGGTGACGTCCTCCAAATGGACACCCCCCCCCCCCCTATTCATAGTAATTAGCGGCTGACGTCACTCCACATGGGGGGGGTGGGGGGGCGAGGCGCCTCCTCCCCCCTCCTCGGCGTCAACTGACAACCCTCACTACAAAGGCAGAACCCTCACGTCACGTGATCTCCGTAACGCTATTGTTGAGACATCAAAGTAAAAAGGACGTCGTGATGAACAAGGGATCATAACCTTGAAATGAAATAAGTCTGTGTCACCGCGCCCTTACAAATTGCACACGAATTGATGCAATGAATATCACGTCGCGGTTTGCTTTGCGCTTGCAAGTTTCAGATTTACTGCAATACACCCGTCCTTGGACGGGCAAAAGGCGAGTTGTTCTGGAGGGCATGAAGGTGGCATTCTTCTAATTGTCCCGTCCGTATGCAGGACGAGACCCCACTGACCCTTCAAATTGCGATCGTTCCAGCGTCCTCGCTTTTGTGTTTAACCCCCGCGCGCTCTGCGCGGTAGAAGTTTGACCGGGACTCGTGACATTCCGCAGCGGAGGTGCGAGGTTAGGAGACATTGGGGCACGGCAGCTAACCCGCTCCCCATCCCCTTACCTCCCCCATCCCCGCCAACATCCACCCACCACCTCCCGTTCATCTCACAGAGACCTTTGTACACAATACCTTACTGAACCACAATACCTTGCCGATCCCGTCAAGCAGCATAAACAATCACGCGAACTTCGGCTATCTTCGCAGCAACAGCGGCTTTTGGCTCGCCACCGAACAAAGACGGTGGTCACTGCATCGCGCGCTTTTGGAAGCGCTTCTGCGGCCGTCTGGAACGCTCTACCTTCCGATATTAGGAAGCTACTGGAGCTATGCACTTTAAAATCTAGATTGAAAACGAATTTCTTTAGAACTGCTTTTTGTGTTTAGTTTGTCCTTTCCCCGCGCGCCTCCGATTAGTACGGTTGGCTACTTACGGTGCGAAAGAAGTTCAAACATACATTTATGGACACGTGCATGGACAGCTCCCCATGCCGTGCATAAAAGAGTGTTGCGTGGCACTCGTTTCCATTGGTGGTCCTGAGTCAGTGGTGACAATTCCACATTGCTATGGCAGGGACCAGTCTGTTCATCCTAAACCCCATAGCATTCCGCCACCTGGATATTTACATGAGAGACTTTTGTAAGGAAATGTTAACACTGACGACCAGAGGGTTCTGTCACGTATTGTTCTAGGCACAGTATCACCGCAGTTGTTTGGTAGGTCGCTTGTGATGGGGTAAAGTGTGAGTAGTTCCTCCCACTTCCAAGAAGTCTGACCAACGTGGAAAAAGAGGCCAAATATCCTCTCGATGGGCTCTAGAGTGGTGGTGGTGGTCGTTGTGGAGGCCCTTTTACTTTGCAGTGGCGTGAGAAAAAAACATTGCAGGGTTGCACCGTTACCTACTTCCCTTATTATCGTTACTGTATTTCGGAATTCTCCACAAATGCTACTCAGGTTAATAACCCCCAAGAATTTCTCACTGCCGTCTCGCTCGAGGAGGGTAAGAAATTATCTCAGGAGCCCTTTTTCCCCGTGTTCCCACTGCCCCACTTTATATACCGTACAATGTGTGAGCGTACATTGAAATAGGAAGGAAAAAAACACCACATTTCTTTCATATTGTGGCTTTGAACCTTCCTGCGGTATTCAGCAGCATGAATTCATTTTTGTTTCCATTCGCGTGAGATTGTTTTTTTTTGTATACGTGAAACCAGCTTGGATCGAATTAGTGTGTAGGTACACTCTGAAGCCATTTGCGTGGCACTTACACACGTGGGCCAAATGCAGACATGTAAATTTACTTTTTGTAAAATTAATTTTTCACATTCACTTCCAAGACTGATAACTCCCAATCGTCCGTGGGGAGAATATCCGAGTTGCTGACTAAATCGTGCTCATTTGCACTTCTGGTTTAATGTAACGTTCCTACCCACCCCTACTGGACATCTGTGCAAAAATGGCTTTATAGCTCATTGGATTCCTCCAGTATAAATAAAGATTCTTATTGTGATTCTGAATTATCAGCTGCTCCTCACTCGTCGAGGGTCAGTGGCTCAGTGCCCATGTGATTACAGACACGTGGAAAGGAGTACAGTAGAATACACTCACGAGTAATTAATACTTACTGACGTTATAATAATCGTCTCTTTTTATTTAACAAACGTTAACCATCTTTATTATTATTAGCGCTCATTCCCGATACCCCAATGAAGCCCTCATATATTGTTCGGATGAAAAAAATAACGCTGTCGGGAATGCATCCCCATATAAACAATGGTGTATCGGATTCCTTTTAGCGCAGAATCGATAAGCTCTCACTTCTCCAGGAACGCATCTTGAGCGGTAAGCGAGGTCTGCCTGTTCTGTAAACCGATTACTTTGATAAACAATGCAGTGAGATGGCGCATTCGACGACCCCACGCCCACTCTACGTGGTTTAACAAACATACACGTGTTTTTATGGCTAATGTATTATTCGTGGTCTTGCATTGTCATTGATTCCTGTTATGCAGATCATCTCCTTACCCGGCCATTACCCCAGATGGTTGAGAGTTGACTGTACCATTGTATCGTGTGAAATTGTGCATGTGTTTATAATTGTGCGTGTGTAAAACATCTGAAAACACGGTATACCCATGAATGCATCTTGATATGTAACCTTGAATTTCACCCGAATACTCCTTCTAAGCAGAGACAGCAAACTTATGCACGTGACAAATAGCACCTCTTTAGCCTTGCATATTACGGAAGTAAATTGATGTGAACATCTAATTAACCGCACACATTCCCACGCTATCAAGTTTCCCTGAAGACAACCCTCAACCCAAAGATCCCCTACTCCCCGTGAAGCCTACATAGGTGATTGAGGCAAGTGCTTTTAGCGAGCGGCACCGATGAACGCCGGAACGGTACACGAGGGGGTGGGTGGCCAGCACCACGCCCGACTGCCTTTGTCTCCCCAGTGGCGATGTTTGCACACCGCACCAAGTACTCATTTGAGGCTGAGTCGACCTAGGGGCGACCCAGCACCGGTTCAGATAATCGTCACCGGTGTTGGTGGCCGTGAGCGGGAATCGAACTCGGGTCACCGGGTTCGGAGCGCAGCGTAGCGCTAACCGCTACACTACCGCTTCCCCACTCCCAAATACCCACAAAAGACAAACACCCTCCATATAGCCTTAACGTGCTGTTGGGGCAAGTGCTTTTTGCGAGCACCTATTAAGGCTAAACACCCACACACCTCTACACTCGCACACACAACCACATACTCAATCGCACACCCTCCCATAGACGCGAACTCACCACCCCCCACCCCCCGATGTGAGCTTGTGCTGGGCGGGTTGGATTAAATTGCCTCGCCACCCGAGCAGTTAGCGGGCGGGCACTTAGCGAGCATCTGTGAGCGAGCTGCCTCTTTCTCTCTCATCCCAGGCTCCGGGTGCCATCGTCGGGGGTCTGTGTGGCCGCTTCCCACGCAAGATGCTCGCTTACCGCCGGATAAGGTATATTTTTTTCTACACCTTCCTGCACTTCTCATTCACCTGCAGTGTGACGTAAGAAATACATTACCAACTTTTGCATCTAAGGCAGTGTTATTGATGAATGTGTTCAGTTTTTCATTATTATTAATGTTATTTTTGCTTGTGCACCGCTGCAAACGCAGTTGCAGCGGTAGCACCAACGTAATTCGTTGAATGTGGAATTTTAGTCAAGCCCTTGTGGATTTCATTGAGTCATTCCCTTCAGAGATTTACAACGGTATATTTGGGTTATTGGGGCAAGTGCTGTTGGCTGTCAATTGTTTGCTCAGACACTCAGGTCTTAAATATCCCTCGCCCCCCCCCCATTAATGTTATCAAAGCAGCCAATCGGTGAAGTGAGGAAATCTCTTAACTTTATTAACTGTACGGTATACACATGTAGACGATTGCCACAGTGTACTGCAGTCTATAAGTAGTCCTGATCTGCGTTTTCTTCCTTCAGACTTACAGCGGTAGTTAATATTGTCTCGTGCATGCATATTAAGTCACGCTTTGATCTTCGGAGGTAGACGCAGAAGGATAACGAACCACACCTGTCGACTATTTTCGCGAAACGGGTCACTTTTTTCCCGTCCGCACGACCCCGTAAATACGCATGGAACGTCGGGGCGGCCAACGTTGGGCCAAGGGTTCCCGAGCCAAATTCCAACGTTGGTTCAACGTTTGAACGTTTATTGGGGTGGAGGTTATAGGCTTTACAGTGTTATTCGGCAACTTAAGCGGACTAACTACTACGTCGGTTAACTCGGAATTGTTTGAATTTGAGACTCGCATCAAGCGCATAATTGTCAGTTAGCAAGACACTGATTTGGCTCATTTGCCGGAAGTGTACTCTGTTGTGTAGGCTTTTGTATCATCGCCTACGACCAGATCTGAGCCTGGATAGCGTTGCTATGGGGTGAACGCCGCGCACAGACAAGTTGTCATCGGCCGCTGCGTGGCTACATAGCGGGCATCTGAGGGCAGTTGAGCAAAATCAATTGCTCTGCTGTACTTCTATACACCCACATCTACGCTTCCCGGCCACCTTCACCAATCCGCACTGATGACTCAGGCGGCGTGGCGAGGGCTTCATCCAGCAGTGGATTGACAAAAGAGCGGCACACGTGCCGTATACGTGCACATGTGGAGCATTTATAATGCACACGCGTGTTGCTAATACGTACAGCAATACATTCCATGCGTGTGTTTGCAATGTTTATTACAGTAACACAGCGATAAGTTGAAATGGGGGGGGGGGGGGGGTGTTCGCAATGTTTGTGGAACAGTTCGGCCAATGCCAGGGCGGAATTGCGTAAATATGTTAAAGGAACTGAAAACAACATAAATGCCTATTTATTTTACAAGATAAGCCTTTTTTTCCAAATTGCTACGGTGCAATTATCTTCTTTTGATGAGAAACTCTCCGTAGATGGTCATGATGAATGTCACGTGTGATGTGTGGGTGTAAACGAAGCTAAGCATGGGTCTTCCATACATTGACTGCCCAAAATGCATTTGCATGGCAGCAATGAGTCGTATTCAACATTTTTTTACAATTTTACCAGGTAAGGCCCACTGAGCTATACAGCTCTTTTTCAGAAGCGACCTGGCCGCAAATGATAGCTCACCGAAGTGGCTTATGTGGAAATTAATTGCAGCCAAATACCCTAAAGTCTAAACGCACATTCATTCGAAAAGTGGAGGGAAAAAGCAGAGGGCCCGGAGAAAAATCCACGCGGCCACGCGGAGCAAGACAGCGCAAAGTCCAATTATACAGGAGCGCGGATTGGCATGGGCTCTGGTGCAAGGAACGAAATGAGGCCACACGGGCCCAATTTGTATCCCTCTTCGTAGCCTGACACCTGGGCCCCTTCGGCCCATGAACCCTGGTGCAGCTGCACCTCCTGCACAATCTCGATTGCTACGCCGCTGGCAGTAAGTAGTAACCAACCATTACAAACAAGAGGAAAATATAAATTGGGCAAAAAATCACCAGAAGGAAAATAATAACAAGGTAGGATTATAATTTCCTTCTAAATATCCAGAGAAGCATTACTTGAGTCTCAAGATTCCTATTCAGGAGGGTCCTGCTGTACTGGGATGTTCGGCCATGTCCATGAACAAAAGTTTGGCGTTGTGTGAAAAGAAATCAGAGCGTCCGGAGAACACGCGCTCACGAGAGGGGGCGTGGGGACTGCACTTAAATGTCCGCACAGATGGACTCATTCCGCTTCTCTACGCCAATCTTCTGGCCACCATTCAGTCGAAGAATCAGCTCGGTATTGAGTGAAATGCAGTGAGGGGTTCCTGCGTAAAGGAAAGGGCAAACTAATTAATGCGTAAGTGGGTTCAGGGAGTGACTGCTCTAAGGAGGAGTGGGACTGCCTTGGTGATGATGATGATGTTTGTTTCGCTGCTGGCGCTTCTGTTGGTTCTGCTGATGGTGGTAATGATGATTATGCTGGTGCTGAGCACGCTGCTGTTGCTGCTGATGCTGTTGCAACTAATGCTGATTATTATGATTTATGCAGTCACGGTTGCGGCTGCCGCTGATGATAATTTATGCTGTAACAGTTACTGCTGCTGATGATGGTAACTGCCTATTATAATAACGGGCAGCCCACACGTCCTTTGTATTTGACTAACCGTGTACCCTTCCCTCCCTTCGGATGCGACGTTCTGTCAGCCAGCCAGCCAGCCAGCAAAACCTTTTTCTAATATAATATGAGAACGACGCTGGTAATACGGATACCAGTGAGGATGTTTGTTATTGTCACGTGTCTGCGCTGCTAGGTGTGGGTTTCTCGGTGTGGCACGGAGGCTCACGTGTCTCCTCCTCCTCCTCTTCATGCTCTTCACCTGCACGAGCGCGCGTGAGTACAGCCACGCAGACCTGTGACACAGACGGTCACGAGTGAATTAATGAGGCTAATGATTGAATGAATGAAGCTCGTGATGAGTGTGTGAATGTAAGGCCAGCAAAATGAGGGTATGAATTAATTCAGCTAATCTTGATCATTATCGCACCTCCGATAAGCATGGCTGGCTACGTACGGTGTGAAACAAGTTCAACATACATGTATACATACAATAAATGAACATAATGATGAGTGATTGAAGCTGAGCGAGCGAATGGTGCTAAGATGAGTCGATGAATGCAGCTTATGAGTGAGTGAAGGAAGTTAATGAGCTAAGGAATGAACGTCCAAATGAGTGAATGACTCACTAAATCTAATGATGAGTGCATTGGCACGACTGTGAACGACGAGATTTTCGGGACGATCAGGGTGTTGCGATGGCTCCCTGGTATTCACTCCTTCAGAGAACGTTGACGGCAAGGAGGAGGTGGAGGAGGAGGAGGCTTGTCCCAGGGGTTACCACGGCAACGACGACCTGCCCGGTGAGCAAGGGGACACGGTCGATGGAGAGAGAGAGAGAGACAAACACACACGGACGGAGCGCTACGACACAAAGATAAAGACAAAGATCCCCCATATAGCCTTAACAGACTGTAGGGGCAAGTGCTGTTAGCGAGCACCTATGAAGGTCGGTAACGGTACACGAGGGGGTGGGTGGCCAGCACCACGCCCGACCGCCTTTGTCTTCCTAGTGGCAATGTTTACACACTGCACCAGGTACTCATTTGAGGCTGATGGGTCGACTGTCTGAGATGATTGGCAGATGCACCACCTGTGACCCCGACGAGAGACGCACAGACAAGCGGAGACAGCGGAGGACAATGTGGCCTAGAGCAACGATTGGATGAAGTCAAAGGCCAAAAACAAAATGACTCCCTGCCCTGCAGCAGCATTTTTGGGGTGGTTATCCTTGCTTGCGGTCCTGAGCTATTGCTGGAAATTACACATTGCTATGGCATGCCCCAGTGAATGTATTATCTATGACCCTGCCCATTACAAAATTGTTTCTCGCTGACCTCATGACCTCTGGATCCTGGCGTTGTACGTTATTCGTGTGGTGATTTTATTCAAGAATTAATTATCTTTTCACCTGTCTAATTGTTTCCCATCTCTTGCATTGTTTCTCATCTCGTCTGTACAGCTATGTTCGCTATATTATCTTAAAGCGTTTGCGATTCGTTTTCATGTAATTTTCATCAATTGTTAACAATCGACTCTGGTGTGTATAGTTCAATGCGGCTATTGTGAGAGTGAGACTCGGTTTTAATCGATGGACTAATACCCTATTACACATTCGTACTCCTAACTAGCAGCGCGCTCAGTCTGGAACTGTAGTTAGACGTACCATATGGTTCAGTAGCTGCTATGTCTGTCCAATGTGTTATTTGTTACACATTTGTTTAAATATTTCACCTGGAATATCTCTTGAGGTGAAAAAGAATCAGCATCTTTATTTAGACTGGAGGAATCCGATGAGCTGTGAACCTTTTTTTTCACAGATGTCCAATAGGGACAGGTCGGCAAGTTACAACAATACAAAAAAAATGATAGGAGTACAAAATCGAGAAATTAAGATAAGCGCTTTGGCATGAGATTAGCATTGCATCAAAAGGCAAGGCCGTAATTACAATATATATTGGGGGGCACACCCCCCCAATATTCAAATATTCTCAAAATGTCCCCCCCAATATATTTCTATAAAATAGATTTCTGTTTATATGATTGTGGTTATGGTTGTACTTTATTAATCCCTGATCTCTGTCATGACATACAATGAAACAAGAAAAGGTAAAAAGTAAAAAAACAGAGCAATGTAAATACAATAACACTATTAGACATTATTGTAAAAAATAAATAAAAAGTCCATCCTATGCGTTAGTGAATTTTTAAAATATTTTAAGCAGGAAATGGCAGGAAATTCGCTTTCAAATTTAGATGTTTTTTTTTCTGGGGGGGGGGACCCCCAAACCGCCTGGAAGATTTGGTCCCCCCCAATGTTGACTCCATGGCTACGGGCTTGTCAAGGGGCATATTCCACCTTTGTGCACGCACGTGCATTGTCGCGATGGAACCAAACTTTTCTCCTGAACTCTTGACCTCCGCTTGACGTTCGGCCCCCAGGGTACGACCTGCTGTCCGGCCTGCGGGGGGCGTACCGGCTGGGCCCCCGTGCGCCCCAGCGCGTGGCCGGGTCCACGCCACTGCAGGTGGCCTACCGGCTGCACCGCGGCGCCATGCTGCAGATGCCTACACGGTGGGGCAGGAGGGGGGGGGGGGGGTCCGGGTTTTACCGATCTCGCGTTGGGCCACGTTTATTGACGCACATCAGCGACCGTTCGGCAGCTCGCGTGCAGCGGTGTAAAGCGTTGCGACTCCCACGTCTGCCGAGACGTCTGACCAGTGTGGAATAGTAGGCAAAATCATCTCCAGAAGGGCTTTCTGTTGCTCTCTCTCTAAGTGGAGGTCCCTCCTGCCAGCAGAGGTGCGAGCAGGTTCTTGCAGGACTGCGCCTTTACCTACCTTTACATCGAGAATTTGATGTTTCACTGAGTTATCCCCCCCCCCAATCGGTGAGCAAGTTTGCCAGTCTTGAGTAATTTTCAGAGTACGGAGTCAAATGAGGGCACATTCTGACTAGAGTAAACTCTTGTCCAGTGGTATTGATGGTAAGTAATGTATGGCATATGACCTTTGACCGAAACAGAAAAAAACAAGCAAATAATATTCACCACGCCAATCTAACTTTTCCCGTGCCACGAATTTTTTGTTGAGATTAAATAATAGTTTTTGTTGTTGTTGTAAAATACCGGACAAGAAAAAGGGCTATCTTGTATGCTTCTCTATAGCTGTGTGCTCGCTAACAGCACTTGCCCCAGCAGTGCATTAATGCAGTCGCACGGAGTGAGCGCGGTGGTGGGGGGCTGGGGGTTAGTGATCTCTGTGTTTGTGTCCGCGGCGCCGCAGGTCCGTGTACCCGAGGGGCGTCCCACGCGCGTACTCGCTCGTCTGCACGTTCCGCACGTTGGGGGGCAGCCCCCCGCGGGGGCCCTGGTTCCTGTGGCAGCTGACGGACGCGCAGGGCGGCTTGCAGGCCGGTGTGCGCCTGGACCCCGCCACGCAGGTGGGGGGGGGGGGTACACGCGGGCCGTGGTGGCACGCGGGGGGCAGGGGGCGTGGTGGAGTAGCACGCAGAGATGCAGGATGCACAAGCGCGACGCAGCAACACACAAAGAGCAAAAACACGGGATGCAGTGATATGAGATGCACCCATACAGGACACAGCAATACGAGATGATGATGATGATGACGACGATGACGATGATGCTGATGATGATTGCGACGATGATGATTACTACCACGATGATGACGATGATGATGGCAATGATGATGACGACAACGATGATGATGGTCAGATTACTCATGCAATGACAACGAGGGCGACGACAATGATGATGACAAATATGACAAACGATGATAACGATGACGACAATGACAACGACGATGCCGACAATGATTCAGACGAGAACAACGACCACGATGATTATACTCACGATGTTCTGTGCCGTCGTCGCCGTGCGTATCAGACGCTGAGCTTCTCCGCGCTGGGCGAGGACGGCTCGCTGCGCTCCGCGTCCCTGCACGGCGGTGCCGCCCTGGCACGCCTGGCGGACGGCGCGTGGCACAAGCTGGCGCTGGGCGTGGCGGCGCACGGCCACGTCTCACTGAGCGTCGACTGCGGCGCCCCCGTACAAGGCCTCCTCGAGCCCCCTGGCCCGCTCGCCCGCGTGCCCCCTGACGGGACCGTGCACGTGGGCTCCCTCGTGGGGCAGCCCGGCTCCTCCGCCGCGGTGAGACCCCAAATGCGGCGGCTGCTGCTGCTGCTGCATCGTAATAGGGGTGCTACGGTGGCGAGGTGTTAACTACCTCGCCTGGTATACAGGAGGTGGTGGGTTCGATCCTGACCCTCACACCTGTTGTATATTTGGAGATAGCGTTTTAGAGTATTTGGCTGCTATACATTTCCACCTGATAAGCCACTTCGTTGAGCTATCATCTGTGGCCAGGTCGCTTTTGAAGAGAGCTAGATAGCTCAGTGGGCCTAACCTGGTAAAATAAAAAGTAGCGTGTGATAAACCGGAATAATACGCCGACGCGCCGACTGCTTCACAGTGGACGTGAAAGGTCACCTGACGTCAGTTCACAGAAGCGGCCAATTGTGTTGCCGTCAGCAGGGCCCAGATTTTATAATCACACCGCGAATTACTAATTTGGGATTTACATAGCGATTATCGCCCCCTTCTGGCAGATTGATTTCCCAGGTCATCCTTACAAATGAGACTATATCCTGTGAGGCTATATCTCGCCTGGTTCAACAACATGAAATTAAAAGTTGAGAAGAGACTTCTAGCGTTTTGTCCATGTGCCAGGCGACACAGTTGCTTGTGTCTCTGTTCCCTGTGTCTCAATTCCATGTATCTCAAATCCCTGTGTCTCAATGTTGTCTAATGTCCAAGTGTCTCTGTTTTACCCGGTCTCAATTCCTATCTATAAATCCTCAACATCTGGGTTTCTACATCAGCATCTAAATTCCCTGTGTGCCCATGCCCCCGTGTCCCCATGTCCCCGTATCCCTCTATTCTTATGTCCCTCTACGACATTCTCACGTATCCTTATCCCGTGCGTCCCTGTTTGTCAGATGGACCTGCAGTGGATGCTCCTGCACTGTGACCCCGGTAGGGCCGCACGTGAGACCTGCACTGAGCTGCCAACACCTCAACCGGTAATGGCCGTCCATCCGCCCTGCCTGCCTAGCCAGACCAACCCAGGCAATTGTCCAGCTAGTCCAGGGGTTGGAAACCTGCGGGAAGCCCTATATATATTTTTTTTTTAAAGAAAAAAATGTAATCTTAAACTAAATTTTACGTAAAGGTAATTGATTAAAATATGGCAGAGAATGGGTCATTATGCAAGGTATTCGTGATAACACAATGCACAGTTAAACTGTATTGTTAAATAAAGGGGGGACAAGACTAAGCAGACGCAGTTTATTCACCTATCACCTATTTTTTAAAATTTAAGTCAGAATGTGTTTGTCGTCTGTTGTATACCTGCTGTGTTTGTGCACAAGCTCTCAAACTATTTTCGTCAAAACAAAAACAAAGAAAATGGCTCTTCTTCTTTGAAATGTTGCCGACCCCTGGGCTAGCCACTCTCTGCCTAGCCTGTACAGCCACCTGTTAATATATATGTCTGTCCAACCAGCCACCTGGCTATTTAGCCTGCCTGTCGATAATCACATGGTCACCTAGGCATCTGCCTAACATTTCACTTGGCCCATTTAATTTGCCTATCAATCTAGACATGTCCCCAAATAGCTACTCACTGCCTCGCCTGTCAGCCACCTTGCAAGCTGTTAGAATAACTCTCATTCCGTCCACTAATTTGGCCAGCTAGTCATCTAACCCGTCATTAAGACAACTATCCTCTCCAGATATTTATTTCATGGTTACCTGAGAATAAAATAAATCCTGCTCCGAATACATTCAAGAACTGAACCTAATCCTGCCAAGCATGTACGTGATATGGCTGGTGTGATTGCCTCGTGTGGCATTAATCAATGGATCTGATTGACTTGCATGACCAGAGCATTGCTATAGGTTGGCAAATTCAAGTGGCTGATGTTGAATCTTTTGACTAGCCATCAAACAAACATAGTCACTGCTTCGCGCGCTTTCGGATGCACTTCTGCGGTCGTCTGGAAAGCTCTACCTTCCGATATTAGGAAGCCACTGGAGCTATGCACTTTAAAATCTAGATTGAAAACTAATTTCTTTCCCCCGCACCTTTGATTCACATGGTTGCCTACGTACGGTGCGAAAGAAGCTCAATATACATACATATTCAAGGGTGCCTGATGTGTGCATGGATATAGAACAGAGTTCGCAATATGGCCGGTCCCAATTCCCCAATTTCGCAGGTCACGTTAGCGTCTGTGCTTGATTCCCCCATCGCATTTGACAGAGGCCCGTTATAGCCACTCGGCTCCCTCTGGTACGCACTCACGCCGCCGCCCCCTCCCTCACACTCTGGGCGCATGTTTTTTTTCCCTCTCTCAAGCCACGTCCAAAAAAGAAGAAAGAGGTGTGAGGTCACGTCCATGCAGCCAGGCAGGTCTGTCGGGAGTCCGTCTCAGAGGGTTATCGCTGACGGCCACACGGATAGAGGGGACTCAGTCCTTCCTAGCTTCCTAGAACGGCGTGACGATTGTGGCTGAGTCGCTTGAGGCCTTCGTTGCTGAGGGGCCTTTGACGCTGAGGAGGTCTTCAACTGCATGTGCGGCGGTGGCAGCAGCGGCGGTGGTGGTGGCACGAAGCCTCGACAAGGCCGACGTCTCAACATCGAGCCGTAGAAAGGGGGGAGGAACACCACCCTTGAGTTTTTGGTGTTGGAAGATTTGGGGGTGGATTCTTTTCCACCGTTGGCTTCGGGAGCCCAGGCTGGGCCGAGTTGGTGGGGATTTTCTGCCGAACATTGAGACATGGCCGCCGCACGAGGGTCGGACTGTTCCAGCAATTTCGTCTCCATCGTTGTGTGGATTTTCTTGGTCTCGACGCAAAGTTTAGCACAGGTGAGCCGAGATGGTGGCAATGGTCTTTCTTTCTTTGTTTGGTTGCGTTTGCAAGTATAGTGCTTCTCGTTTTGTCGGACGTTCACCAAACAGTTCGTGGCCCCTGATGCGTGAGGGACGCTCACAAACTTTTGAGCGAATTTTGTTGAGGATATTTTGACTTTTTTGGGGCCAGTTTGTGATTTAATTTTATGGAGAATTTGTGACTGTGGAGAATTTGTGACTTTCAGACAGGATACCCCAGGTCGATTATTTAACAGCAGCATCGTTGGGTAGAGCTACACCATGTGGATTTTGACGCCAGTGCTGTTATTATACCGGCCGATCCATTTCTAGACACCCCACTTACATAACGTGGATACATTGTAGAGATAACGGCGGCATCATTATTTCAAAGCCTCTGCACCTCTCCCACCAATCCTAATACGCACCAGTCAGCCTTTTAGCACTCTCACTCTGTAAGGTATGGGATCCATCGCTCTCCAAATATTCAATCGTCTGTTGAGAAGAAAGAGATTCCTGATTAAGGAATCTATCATTGATAAATGCGTCATTCTGTAATACGCTCTATTTTATTATTACTGGACTGTATTATTGCTATTGATGAGATGTTGATTAATGATGTAACAATAATGTTATTAATGATAATAAATATATATAAAAAAAAACACAAGCAGAGTTAAATGTTAAATATAAATTAATATACTAATAATTACTGCCGGTTCTTATTTCATTCCCCTCTGTTAATTCTTGACGCATGAGTAGTCAGTTTGTTTTGCCACAATCATCTTAAAAGACTACAGCACGTTCTGGATTTATATAGCGGCTAAACGTCACCGCATCTCGAGATTCCATATAGAAACAGTGCGGACTATTTATTTAAAAAAACGAAATTACTCATATTGTGAGTATTGGCATCAATGTATGATCGCTGTAATTATTATCATTGTGAGAAAGGATATGTCGATGGACTTCCGCCTGTAGAACGACATTGGTTCGTGAGACACTAGGAATGCACATTTTATTTCCTGAAATAGACCTCAAGAGCAGCGGACAGTTTTGACATCCCTCCGCGTGTGAGCATTTGTATCTTTAAGCTCAAATAATTTTCTGAACCGGCGCATTTTAACGCTCGGTGTGTTATCATCGCTAATCTTATCTCCCCGTAAAGGAATTTATAGAGTCCCTTAACCAAGGCGGCTTTATAAAGAATTGGCGGTGGTACACATTAATGTAATGGAGGAGATGGGGAAGCAACGGCGGCAAAATCTGTGATGCGCGAATTCGGCGAAAGCGAAATTGATGACGGTAAACGATGAATGGATTGAATGAATTGGGAATGAGTGAAAGCCATATAATGGGAATGTGAAGAGGCGGTTATGAAAGGGGAGATTATGGGGCTGTGTGGGTGAGCTCGGGGTAACGATAAGTGAGTTTTGAGTGAAAACTCGTGAGCGAAGGTGACTGTTTAATGTGGAGGTAAGGAAGTTTGTTCGAGTGAAGGGGGGCGCGAGAAGAGAAAAATAACAAAAGCGTGGATTGAGCACAGACGAACATTATTGGCAGAGTCGACGGTTCACGATGCGATTCTCTGGGGCATTCGGCTGGGCTGCTTCACACCGAGCTGACGGCTCGGATGGCTGTCGCCGACAGCCGCCGGCACCCCGCCGTAAATTTCGCGTGGGGAATTGACAAAGCGTCCGTTATGCTGCAGAAATATCTCGGGAGGAGGAGGAGGGGGGGGGAAGGACGCTTTGAGATTCAGCGACGGGGCGGCAGGAGTGTGTGGACCAATCAGTTTCAAAGACAACGCATAAACTATCAGAGTATGTGTTTTTTTTTTGCAATTTGACCACAAGCATTGTGGTCAATGCACACATGATTCCCTGTAAAAAAAAGGTTTCAGTTTGGTGTTTTAACATCTTAGCACCTGTTTTGTTGCCAGAAAAAAAAGGGGAAAACCCCTATTCTCGTGAGAAGATAAGAGGTTGAGGCTGAACGATGCAGTGGGGAGAGAACCGTGCCGAAAATTTCGTCGGGCTCTCTCATGGTCGCCAACGAGCTGACGGGAGGCACAGATGACGACTGACCGTCTGCCGCGTGGCGGACGTTAAATATTGCGTGACGAGGTTGACCGAAAGAGTAGGGCTCTCGTATGTATGTATGTATCTTGAACTTCTTTCGCACCATACGAAGGTGCTGGTCACTGTCATTCGTCTGGTGGGTCTGTGTTGCGAGGTCTGCATCAGTAATCTCTATGGCTGCGTATCCACGTGTCTATCCGTTCCTACGTGCGTCTGTCTGAGTATTATACGCACCGTTTTGTAATAAGGTAGTTTTAATAACAGCGGTGGTCAGGTTTTAAAAAAAAAATATTGTACGAGTCGTATGTGTGCTCTGCGTCACTCTGCATGTGTCTCTGTATGTGCGCGTGCACGTCTTTGTGTCTGCGTGCGCGTCCTTCCGTTTGTGTCTGGATCTGTCTGTGCGTGAGTATCATATTAGGCTACATGTGTGCCCGTGTGCATGGGTCTGTGCATTTCTGTACGCGCGTGCGCCGGTGTGTGTGTGTATGCACGTGTGTGTGTGTCTGTCTTTGCCCCTGCGTGCGTCTGGGTGTGTCCGCGCATGCGTCCGTCCGTGTGTGTGTGTCTTGTCCGCGTGTGTCCGTCCGTGCGTGCGTGCGTGGCAAACAGAGCTCCTTCTGTTGCCGCGTGTAACGTCGCTCCGTTTCACACGTCCGGGGCACCTAAGGGACCACGGCTCTCACCGACTCTCGTTTCTCCACTCGCCCTCCTTGCTTCATTTCTCTGCCGCCATTCCCATTCCTCCTTTCATTCCGTCTCTTATAGCGCTGCCTTCCTTGGTTACGCGTTTACGTATTAGTTCACATTCTTTTTCAGTTGATTATTGCGTGGTCCATTTGTCCTGGTTGTCATTGTATTTCAAGTTTTTTGTGTTACAAACGGACGTGTAATATTTTAACGAAATGTTACATCTAAAAAAATATATATTTATATATATTTTTTCCGTGATTCACCTTAAATAAGACTGAGAGTAAATTAAGATAATTTAGCTACGACCGAATCACCCTGAAGTCACCTAAAGCTAAGCAGTGTTTTGCCTGGTTAGTACCTGGATGGGATTCTACC